CAAGACCAACGATTTTCTTCACTGCAAATACCTTTTCTCAACAACATAAACGGTGACTATACATATACACATGGACCTCACCTGATGGAAAACATAGGAATCAAATTGACTACATCTGTGGAAAGAGATGATGGAAAGTCTCAATATCATCAGACAGAACAAGGCCAGGGGCCATCTATGGACCTGACCATCAACTGGTCGTATTCAAGTTCAAGCTGAAGAAACTTAAAGCAAGTCCGGGAGAGCCAAAATAGGGGGTTGAGTATATCCCACCTAAATTTGGAGGCCATCTGAAGAGTAGATTTGATGCATTGAATACTAATGACTAAAAGACCAGACGACTTGTGGGATGACATCAAGGACATCATACATGAAGAAAGCAAAAGGCCATTAAAAGTACAGGAAAGGAAGAAAAGACCAAAATGGGTGTGAGAAGAGACTCTGAAACTTGCTCTTGAATGTAGAGTAGCTAAAGTGAATGGAAGAAATGATGAAGCAAAAGAGCTGAACATTTCCAAGGTGGCTTGAGAAGACAAAGTAAAGTATTATAATGAAATATGTGAAGACCTGGAGTTAGAAGAAAACCAAAAGGGAAGAACACGCTCGACATTTCTCAAGCTGAAGAACTGAAGAAAAAATTCAAGCTTCGAGTTGCAATTTTGAAGGATCCAGTGGGCAAAATACTGAGGTACTCAGGAAGGGTCAAAAGAAGATGGCAGGAATACACAGTGTCACTGTACCAAAAAGAATTGGTTGATGTACAACCATTTCAGGAGGTAGCATATGATCAAGAACTGATGGTATTGAAGGAAGAAGTTCAAGCTGCACTGAAAGCACTGGTGAAAAACAAGGCGCCAGGGATTGATGGAATACCAAATGGAGATGTTTCAATAAACAGATGCAGTGCTGGAGGTGCTCACTCGTCTATGCCAAGAAATTTGGAAAACAGCTGCGTGGCCAGCTGACTGGAAGAGATCCATATTTGTGGCCATTCCAAAGAAAGGTGATCCAACAGAATGCGGAAATTATCGAACAGTATCATTAATATCATACACAAATAAAGTTTTGCAAAAGATACTCCAAAAGCAGTTGCAGCAGTACATCAACAGGGAACTGCCAGAAATTCAAGCCAGATTCAGAAGAGGACACAGAACAAGGAATATCACTGCTGATGTCAGATGGATCTTGGCTGAAAGAGAATACCAGAAAGATGTTTACCTGTGTTTTATTTACTATGCAAAGGCAATCAACTGTGTGGATCACAACAAATTATGGGTAACATTGTGAAGAATGGGCATTCCTAAACAGTTAATTGTGCTCTTGCAGAACCTGTACATAGACCCGGTAGTTGTTTGAACAGAACAAGGGGATGCTGTGCAGTTTAAAATCAGGAAGGATGTGCATCAGGGTTGTATCCTTTCACCATACTTATTCAATCTGTATGCTGAGCAAATAATCCAAGAAGCTGGACTATATGAAGAAGAACGTGGCATCAGGACTACAGGAAGACTCATGAACAATCTGCCATATCCAGATGCCAGAACCTTGCTTGCTGGAAGTGAAGAGGACTTGAGGCACTTCAGTATGGATTACACCTCAACATAAGGAAAGCAAAAATCCTCACAACTGGACCAATAAGCAACATCATGATAAACAGACAAAATATTGAAGTTGTCAAGGATTTTATTTTACTTGGATCCACAGTCAACGCCCATGAAAGCAGCAGTCAAGAAATCAAATGATGTATTTTATATGCATTGGGCAATTCTGCTGCAACAGACCTCTTTAAAGTGTTAAAAAGCAAAGATGTCACTTTGAGGACAAAGGTGCACCTAACCCAAGCCATGGTATTTTCAGTAGCTTCATATGTATGGGAAAACTGGACAATGAACAAGGAAGACCAAAGAAGAATTGATGCCTTTGAATTATGGTATTGGGAGAGAATATCAGTACACCATGGACTGCCAGAAGAACAAACAAATCTGTCTTGGAAGAAGTACAGCCAGAGTGTTCCTTGGAAGAGAGCATGGTGAGACTTTATCTCAAGTACTTTGGACATGTTATCAGGAGAGACCAGTCCCTGGAAAGGGACATCATCCTTGGTAGGGTAGAGGGTCAGCAAAAAAGAGACCCTCAATGACATGGATTGACACAGTGGCTGCAACAATGGGCTCAAATGTAGCAAAGATTGTGAGGACGGTGCAGGACCGGGCAGTGTTTCTTTCTGTTGTACATAGGGTTGCTATGAGTTGGAACAGACACCTAACAACCACAACAAAAACAAAACAGTGAAACAAACAAACAAAAAGAAAAAAAACACAAATGTGACAAATGTGGGAAGGAGGCTTACCTACAAAGTAACCAAAAGTTAAGAAAAATGACCATTACACATATTTTGGGCTCAAATGGGATAATTACATGAAAACGTTTTACAGATTTTAAGGGATAACTCAACCATATGGTATTATTTCATTGTGTTATATTTAAACTCTTTGTATTTATTATAAACTCTGTTCTCTAAGGGAATAAATTTGGATGTAAGAAATATATGAAAGTTGGAAATATGTGTAAAATAATGTTAAAAGTCCAAATGTATGTAGATTTATTTACATTTAAACAATATATGAAAAGTGGAGGAAAGTAAACTAAAAGTTACTTTATTAGAGATGAGATTTAAGGTGAATTCTTAAATTCTTTACTAATTTATTAACATTCATTCTGAATAATTGTTTTAAGAACCCTTTTCATTTATTTTGTAGGCTTCCTTACAGACTTTGATCAAAAGAACTCTGAAACTTTCAGCTTCCAATGAAATGTGAAGGAAAAGAAAGGATGGAGCCAGAATTGCATCGATACTTTACGCAGTCCTAACAGGAGGAAAAATTACCAGTAATATGAGTATAAAACCATACACAGCTGCCTACCGAGGAATTACTTCAAACAATTCTTAAAATTCTCAAACGTAGCAGACGTGAGGTTACATTGCCTATAATAAAACTTGTGAGTTCAGGTCAAGCACACTCCGCACTCTTGCCACAAGAGTCTTGCAACACTCAGAGAGGTTGCTCCGATTACCGAGAAAACCAAGGTTTTAAATTAAACTATTCTACTCCGTTTTCTACGCAAACCGCGTTCTTCATTTCAGGATCACAAAAAAATAAAACCAAACCCGTTGCCATTAAGTCGATTCCGACTCATCTCGACCCTACACGGCGGGGTAGAACTACCCCACAGGGTTTGCAAAAAACGGCTGTTGGATTCGAACTGCCAACTTTTAGTTAGCACCGCAGGTCTTTAACCGGAGCGCCATACATGGTCCTTACTCTGAAAGCTACCGAGATATTCTGAAAACATAAATTAGTGTTAAATCTCGCGAGAGCACTTTGCTCTTGCTCCTCCTGTAGCGACCGGGAGCTGGAGACCAACGATTGGGTAATCGGAAGGAGGAGCCTCTTCCCATCCCGCCCCCGTTGCCGGGATACGCGGCCGCGCGCTGTGCTAGTGGAAAGTCCTGAGGGCCCAGGAAATCTGTTTGTGAGTGAGCGGCCAGCCGCAAGTGGGAGAGCGAGCGCGCGCGGCCGGCTGGTAGGCTTCGTGGGGGTGGCGGCCTCCGAAAGAGGTGAGAGCGCGGGATCCGTGCGATCGCCATCCTTCCGCGCCAGCGGTAGTGACAAATCCCAGGTTCCATCCCTCCCTCCCGCCCGCTCGGGTGATTTTACTTCGGAGATGCTGATCGCTCCAAATAAACCAAACTGAAACTCTTAGGCCTTTAGCTATTACCCCAGGCTCCTCGCCAGGCCTGCGAGGTTCCCAGTTCCACTCGGGCAAACGATGCGCAGAGACCCCCCTCTCAGACAGTTCCCTGCGGAGACTTGCCAAGCCATGATCAGAGGGAACAATCCAAGAGCCTCAGAGAAATTTTACTCAAATCTCAAAGTGATGGACTTGTATCTGTTGACCACAGTGCAAGGGACTTGGCGACTTTCCAGTTTACAGATGTGAGAATAACGGGCTTAGGGAGGATAATGACGATGATAATAATAAGGATAATTATTGTTATTATTATGAACCAGGTGTTTTACCTATGTCGTCTGTAATCTTCACAACAGCACTGCACGGTGGGGCTCATTGCTATACTTCCATTTTACAGATGAAGGAACTGAGATCCAGAGAGGTTAAATGACGTGCCAAGATTATACAGCTAGTAACTGTCAGAGCTAGAGTTCAAACGCTTATGTTTCTGGAACCAAAAGCTAGGCTGCCTCTCTGTGTTGTGTGAATAACCCCCGAGTTAAACCGTTGCGGTGGAGTAGATTCCGATTCATAGCGACCCTATTTAGCAGTATATACATACACACACACACACACAGACACACACACACACACACTCACTCACGCTAGTGCACTTTTCCTTTTTCTCCCCGGGACTGATTTATGGTAAGCTTTTTTCACTACAGTAAAACAGTGGCAAAGAAAATCGACTGGAACTTTGTTAAAACATGGTTTTAATTTAGCATTTCCATATACTGTACATTTTCTTAAAGTTTTCAGGAAAGCTAATTCCGCTGAAACAGTCTTATTGTATCAGCTTTTTTTTTTTTTTTTGAAAAACTGTTGATCATAGGCTTTGTCTTTTTAAAAGTCATCTCATTGAAACTCTCTTTTCCATTTGAAATAATTCTATTACTTTGTGTACAGAATTCACAGTGGCAAGAAAATATAATCAGGGAATTAGTTGAGATGGGAAGATTTTATGTTTGCTGTGAACCTAGTTAGTATAATAATGGGATATCTGAATGGAAATTTTCAGTAAACAGTTGAAAATTTAGATTTGGTGCTCAATTTAAAGGGCGTAACTATAGACATGGATTTATATGTCATCACATAGTTTGAGTTCTAAGAAAGGATGTAAGATTAGAGAGACAATAGAAGCAATTTACATAAATATGAAACAGTATTTACCTATAGGGTCACTATGATTCAGAATCGACTCGATGGCAACGGGTTTGGTTTTTGGTTTATGTGCAGTGAACTTATGTTTTCAATTCTATTTCATGTTTAAAGCATATTGGTCACAACCTGTGAAGTCGTTTTCACAACCCACAGTTTAAAAAATGCCGCTTTAAATTATCATCCCGAAATTTAAGTAATATCTATATTATAATGAATAAAGGAGGGATCTGATAAATGGAAGAGAATGAGTTAATTAGGAAAGTGGTTAAAGGGAGGTATAATGGGAATAAAGATGAAAAATGGGTAGAATTAGAGATTAAGGTCAGAGAATGGAGTATTTTAGTGAAGATTTTTGAGATGGGAGCAATTCCAAATGATGACAAGCTCCTAATTCTATCCATGGCTATGCATAACTGAAATAGAGTTGAGATGGTTACTAAAATTGAAGTAGGGAACTGTGAAGATAGAATGTTAGATACTGAATGTAGTATCCAAATTGAAGTTGTCCAGGATGATGGTGGAACATGTGATAGAGAGTCTGAGAACAAGGTACAGAAGACTTAAGTAAAGATGAGGGAGAGAGCAGGAGGTGGCTAGATAATAGCAACCAGGAAAGACCCAGGGCAATATGGTTGCATTCCCTGGTCCTCAAAAGAAGAGCATCCTGTTTATTTTATTTTATTTTTTTAAGGCTTGGTAGAAAAATATTTTGAAAGTGACACTGGTGAGCAAGGACAGCACCACCTCCTTTGCTTTGGAATTGTGGAAAGCAAAAACAGCCTTCGGTACCAAAAGTTTTATCTTCAGGGGAAGCAAGGATTCTGTTTAGAAGAGTTTGAAGTAAAAGGAAGTACTTCATAACAAGATTGAGAATATAAGAGAGTTAGACATGGAACAGAAAGCACAGAGAAAAGATTGAGAGAGAAGGAAGATCCTGGATATGTTAGGGGAAGAGGATGGAAGGAAAGTACAGGAGAGATCGATATCTAGAGGGGCTTGCATTTTGGTTGGATAATAGTGAGATGAAGAAGGCATGTTGTAATGAATGGTTGGAAATGGAACACTGATGTCAAATTTGAACAAAATTACAGCAGGCTTGCAAGAAAAGTCACCCTGGATTAAATGTTTGAAGAAAAGGTATGATGAGTCACTAGTGTCTTGCTATAGAAGACATCAAAGGAGTACTGAACTATTCATTGTTTCCAAACAGTGGTTAAAGTGAACAAGCAATGGCCAGTAATCACAAACCTTCGGCAGCTCGCCCTATTTCACGAGGTGGAATTGGGTTGACAGGAAGACCTCCTTCTGGAATACGACCCCCATCAGGAAATATTCGAGTGGCAACTGGAGTAAGTTTAAGATAAACCAATGTAATGCTTGTATATATATTGGTAGAAGTTAGAAATCCTTTTTATAGTAAGAAGTTCTTCTTTGTTGTCTCTTTATTCCTGAGTCTACTATTATATATATATGTACGTATATATATAAAACATCTGGAAGTATAAATGTCAGAGAATGTCTGAAAGCTACTATTGAGGGAAGATGCCTGCCTCTTCTGATATTAAAACTTATTTTAAAGGTATAATAATTTAAATAGTGTATTGGGACCAGAATCAAATGAAATAAACCAGAACTAAATATACGTAAGAATTGAGTGTATGATTAAGGCGGCATTTCAGGTTAGTTGGAAAAGTATGGAGTATTCAGTAGTTTATTCAAATAACCGGTAAACTATTTGTAAAAAAGAAAAAAAAAATTGATTGCTCCTTCACACTTTTTATCAGAATAATTCCAGATATTTCAGAGATTTATATTTTAAAAATGAGACCATAAAAGGCAAGTATTTTGTATAAACTTAAATGGGCTAGGCCTTTCTGAAAATGGCATGAACAGTAAGTACTAAAGAGGAATAATATTGATATGTTTGAATTTATTAAAAATTGAAAACACCATTAAAAAACTTAAAAGAGCAATGACAAACTCTTAAAAAATATTTCTAACATGTATGTCATGCATATGGTTTAGAATCTTAAAATGAAAGCAAACTCTACTAATTTGTACCAGCTTTTTATATATGAAGACCATAAACTTTGATAAAAATTCTGTGAGATTTCTTTTGAGGAGTATCATTATAAAACTATTCTAAAATTCATCTAGAACAATAAAAAAGCAAGAATAAGAAAATTTTGGAAAAGTACAATACTCTAATATAAAAATATAAACAATAAGTGAAACAGTGTTCAAAAAACCATAGCAGCCTAGAAACAGACTTTAGTAAGGGTTAAGAATTTAGTGTAAGATAAAGATAGTGTCATAAATCAGTGAATAAATAAGAGAAATATACCACGTTAGAAAAATGTGGATAAAGTTCATAAATTGGTCATTCTAAGCAGAAGAATATCCTTTAAAGATAACGATTATCATATTTACCCAAATAATATGCACCTTCTACATTTGTTTGCCAGCCTCACCCTCTGCAATGCTCACCTTCTACAAATGTAGAAAGCATGCGTTATTTGCATAATAGTACAGTACCCTTTAATTTACAATAGTGAAAATTTGGAAACATCTAAATGACAAAAGGAGAGTGTTAAATTATTATAAGTCTATCCCTGGATGATGCAAATGGTTAACACTCTTAGCTGCTAAATGAAAGTTTGGATGTTCAGTTCACCCAGAGATGCCTCAGAAGAAAGACCTAGGGATCTACTTCTGAAAAATCAGCTATTGAAAACCCTATGTCAACCCCATGTGTGTCAAGATAGTAGAACTCCATAGAAGGTTATTAGGTAACCAATAAAAAGTTATTTTCAAAGGATATTGAGAAAATAATATATCTTTATAATACAATACTAAGTGAAAAAAAAGTGTGATGCCAATTTAACATAAAAAAGTACATTTACAAGTGCATAGAAAGAAGCCAGAAAGAAATTAATACATCAAAGTATTGATAGTAATTTCTTGAATGCTTGCAACAGATGGTCTTGACTAACTCAGAAAGCGTGTAGGACCAATACTCAAACTTGGGCAGTAGGCTAACTGCAAATTAAGATAATTTTTGGTCCTGTGTTTAATTCGTAAGAAGAACAGCATTTTGTGGAGGGCATAATTTGTTAGTCAGGTTTATTTTTTTCTCCCTAAAGTTTTCAGCTTTTTCTGGAGCTTTAGGTACTGTTATCACCATCATCATCAAATTATACTGAAATCATTTTTCTAAAGTCTTCGTATATATAGTACTGAGCTAGGGAGTTTTCTTTTAATCTAGTAAGAATTAATATTTCTTAGTTAAATGTTTATAAAAAGAATCTGACATTCATTGGCCACCTGCTATTTGCCAGGCAATTTAAATATTTAATATTTGCAGTTTTTAAAATAGTAAATGCTTGTTGTGAAACATACAAACGATGTCTGAGAAGTGTCAGAGTTTCCTTCCCCTAACCCAGGTGTAACCACTGTCAACACTAGGATGTATCTTCCACACTTTTTCTGTAAGTTTACAAACATAAACACACATGCATGTATAGTTCATATTGTTTTGGTCTCTTCCAAAATCAAGATAATACTATGTATGTTGTTACTTATCTTGTCCTTTTCTTCCAGTAATGTATTGTGAGTAGATTTCCATGTGAATACATATACATCTACCTCATTTTTTTTAATGTGTGCAGTTTTAATGTATACTTTGTCTCTATACTGTCATCTGATAAATGAAAAAAACAAAAAACACAGTTATTTGAATAGCTGTCACAATTATGTTTGCGTAAAGACGAAGAGGAAATTATTTACTCAGGGAGAGATTTAGCATTCTCTCCCAAGTATAACCCTGAACTGATTTTATTTGAATTTGTAGTTGGTAGTGTCCCTTGGTCACTGTTCTTCAGGGTGCGTTACTGTTGCAGGCCCCATATTGAAAATAATTCCCAAGAAATTCTCAGAGACACTTAAGAAGTGTTAGTTGGTAGAATTAGAGGCTACCAGCTAACAGGATTAAAAACAAGCAAAATGAATGGAAATGTCTGTGTTCAACCCCTATCTAAAATTTCTAAAACCAAAAAAAAAAAAAACCAGTTACTGAATGGATTCCTACGCATGGCGACCCCGTGTGTTTCAGAGAAGAACTGTGCTACATAGAGTTTCAATGGCTGTGATCTTTGGGAAGTAGATAGCCAGTCCTTTCTTTCGAGGTGCCAGTGGGTGGGTTCAAACCATCAATCTTTTTGTTAGTAGCCAAGTGCTTAACTGTGCTAAATCTAAAATTTCTACCACATACTTAATCTACTACTTTGGTCTTTGGCCAAAAGAGGGGGAAAGAATGATTAACAGGAAAAGAAAGACAAACAGAAGAGGGAGGAATAGCTGGAACAGTTTCAGGCTGTCTTTTATACCTTCCATACCTGTACATACTTAATGAACTGACAAGAAGGGAGTTTTATGTCCTTTGCTCAGGGTGTATATGGTTATACCGGGTTTTGCAAACCTGAAGTAGAGAATCATGTAGCATAGTAATAGGAATGTAATAGGAATAGGAATAGACCTTTAGTACCTACATGGCCAGCTTGTGGTGGAGTTATATCTTTTTTTTTTTTCCAAAATGAAAATTTCCTTATTTTTTCTGATTTAAAAAATAATATATGCTCATTATAATAATGCTGAAAACACCAAAATGTATAATGGACAAAATAAAAATCAACTGTAATGTTATGTGGAGATAACCACTGTTACTATTTTTTCTGTATGGTCTTCCAGACTTTTTGTTTTAAAAAAAATGGGATCAGAAATACTCTTTTGTAAACTGCTGTTTTACTCAATACAACTTGTTTAACCGTTTACTATGGTGGTCGTTTAGCTTCTTTCCAGTATGAGGTACAAGCAGTCCCTGGATTATAAACTTCCTACTTGCGGACAACTCCTACTTACCCTTTAATGTTATGTAAATTTACCCTCAATGTTGAGTCCAATCCAACTCATAGCAACCCATAGGGTTTCCAAGGCTGTAAATCTTTATAGAAGCAGACTGCCATATCTTTTTCCCATGGAGCAGCTGCTGGGTTCGAACTCCTGACCCTTTGGTTAGCAGCTGAGTGCTTTTTACCACTGCGCCACTGGGACCCCTTTCTTGCACTAAATAAAAAACAAAAACCAAACCCGTTGCCATCAAGTCGATTCCAACTCATGGTGACCCAATAGGACAGAGTAGAACTTCCCCATAGGGTTTCTAAGGAGTGGCTGGTAGATTTGAACTGCTAACGGCAGCTATAGCTCTTAACCACTGTGCCACCAGGGCTAAGGAACCATATGTACCTGTTTCAACTTACCTACAAATTCAACATAAAGACACAGGAACGAATCTCATTTGTAACCCGGGGACTACCTGTATTATAAATAATGTCCATACATAGAATGGAGCCCTGGTGGCACAGTGGTTAAGAGCTATGGCTGCTAACCTAAAGATCGGCAGTTAGAATCGACCAGGTGCTCCTTGGAAACCCTATGGGGCAGTTCTGCTCTGTCCTATAGGGTCGCTATGAGTCGGAATCGACTTGACGCCAACGGGTTTTATACATAGAATTTTAAAATGTAAAGAAATGTATTATTCAATATTCATAGAATTTTAAATGTTAAAGAGATTTATTACATAATTGTATTAAATATTTAATATTTCAGAAATTCAAAAAGAAGGAATGTTTAGTAAATTCTGTAGAATTGTTTTTGTTTTAAATTTTCTGCTGTTTTATAATGGTGGAGGTATAGTGTTATGACTGTTTATTAAAAGGGAATTGTGTTTGTCATTTAGATGCCACCTGGAACAGCGAGACCAGGCTCTCGTGGTGGTCCTATAGGGACAGGAGGAGTTCTGTCTTCTCAGATCAAAGTTGCAGATCGTCCTGTAACACAGCAAGGTTTGAGTGGAATGAAAACTGGAATGAAAGGTATCTATTTTAAGACGATAAATGTATCTTCTATAAGAAGTATTATTAAATCAGAATTAGAGTGTGAAATTTTTATTTCTTGATTCATAAAATTGTGAGGTTAAATAGATGACTGAAAACACTTATGAAGAATTCACAGTCTTGGTCTGCACTGTCCAATATGATAGCTACTAGTCACATATGGCTACTTAAAGTAATGAAAATTCAATAAAATAAGTATGCAGTTCCACAGTAGAACTAGCCAAATTTCAAGTGCTCAGTAGTAACATGTGGCTGTTTTATTAGACAGTACTGATATAGAATAATTCCTTCATTGCAGAAAGTTCTTTTGCAGGGACAGGCCTAATTTGTTGTTATTGGGTCCTGTCAAGTCAGTTCTGACCCATAGCAACCCTATGTACAACAGAACAAGACACTGTCTGGTCGTGCCCCATCGTCACAATCGTTGCTATACTTAAGCTCGTTGTTGCAGCCACTGTGTCAATCCATTTCGTTGAAGGTCTTCCTCTTTTTTGCTGACCCTCTACTTTATCAAGCATGATGTCCTTCTCCAGGGACTGGTCCCACCTGATAACGTGTGCAAAGTACGTGAGTTGGAGTCTCCCCATCCTCCCTTCTGAAAAGCATTCTGGCTATACTTCTTCCAAGACAAATTTGTTCCTTCATCTGGCAGTCCACATTCAGTATTTTTTGCCAGCACCACAATTCAAATGCATCAGTTCTTCTTTGGTTTTCCTTATTCATTGTCCAGCTTTCATATGCATATTAGGTGATTGAAAATACCATGGCTGGGGTCAGGCGCACCTTAGTCCTGAAAGTGACTTCTTTGCTTTTTAACACTTTAAAGAGGTCCGTTGCAAAAGATTTGCCTACTGCAATACGTCCTCTGATTTCTTGACTGCTGCTTTCATGGGCGTTGATTGTGGATCCAAGTAAAATGAAGTCGTTGACAACTTCAGTATTTCCTCCGTTTGTCATGATGTTGCTTATTGGTCCAGTTGTGAGAATTTTTGTTGTCTTTATATTGAGGTGTAATCTATACTGAAGGCTGTAGTCTTTGATCTTCATCAGTAAGTGCTTCAAATCCTCTTCACTTTCAGCAAGCAAGGTTGTGTCATCTGCATATCGCAGGTTGTTAATGAGTCTTCCTCCAATCCTGATGCTGCATTCTTCTTCATATGGTCCAGCTTTTTGGATTATTTGCTCCGCATAAAAATTGAATAAGTATGGTGAAAGGATACAACCCTGACGCACATCTTTCCTGATGTAAAATCACGAAGTATCCGTTCGTTCTGTTCAAACAACTGCCTCTTGGTCTGTATACAGGTTTTGCATTAAGTGTTCTGGAATTCCCATTCCTCGAAATATTATCCATAATTTGTTGTGATCAATACAGTCAATAAAAGACAGGTAAACATCTTTCTGGTATTCTCTGCTTTCAGCCAAGATCCTTCTGACATCAGTAATATACCTCTCGTTCTACATCCTCTTCTGAATACAGCTTGAATTTCTGGCCGTTCCCTACCGATGTACTGCTGCAACTGGTTTTGAATTATTTTCAGCAAAATTGTACTTGTGTGTAATATTAATATTGTTCAATAATTTCCTCATTTTTTTGGATCACCTTTCTTTGGAATGGGCACAGATATGTATCTCTTGCAGTTGGCCATGTAGCTGTCTTCCAAATTTCTTGGCATAGATGAGCGAGCACCTCTAGCATTGCATCCATTTCTTGAAACATCTCGATTGGTATTCCATCAATTCCTAGAGGCTTGTTTTCGCCAATGCCTTCACTGCAGCTTGGATTTCTTCCATCGGTTCTTGATCATATGCTACCTCCTGAAATGGTTGAACGTTGACCAATTATTTTTGATACAGTGACACTGTATATTCGTTCCATTTTCTTTTGATGCTTCCTGCGTTGTTCAGTATTTTCCAATAGAATCCTTCAGTATCGCAATTCAAGGCTTGAATTATTTCTTCATTTCTTTCAGCTTGAGAAATGCTGAGAGTGTTTTCCCCTTTTGGTTTCCTAATTCCAAATCTTTGCATATTTCATTATAATACCTTGTCTTCTCGAGATGCCCTTTGAAATCTTCTGTTCAGCTCTTTACTTCATTATTTCTTCCATTCACATTAGCTACTCTGTGTTCAAGAGCAAGTTTCAGAGTCTCTTCTGACATGAATTTTGGTCTTTTCTTTCTTTCCTGTCTTTTCAATGACCTTTTGCTTTCTTCATATGTGAGTCCTTGGTGTCATTCCACAACTTGTCTTGTGTTCCATGATTAGTGTTCAATGTGTCAAATCTATTCTTGAGATGGTCTCCAAATTCAGGTGGGATATACTCGATCGTAGTTTGGCTCTATTAATTTTCTTAAGCTTCGACTTGAACTTGCATATTAGCAATTGGTGATCTATTCTGCAGTCGGCCCCTGGCCTTGTTCTGACTGATGATACTGAGCTTTTCCATAGCCTCTTTCCACAGATGTAGTTGATTTGATTCCCGTGTGCATTCGGCTGTCCGTGTCCATGTGTTCTACATCCATGTATTCAACCAACCGTGGATTGAAAATATTCTGGAAAAAAAATGATGTGTCAGCATACCCTACTGTTGCGTCCTGCCATTTCACAGATCTTCAGTCTCTCTCCAGCACTCATTGTTTGAGCATTGTATGCCTCGTCTCTGACGTGTACTGTGTAGTTAGTCCTATGATGGTTACCTCTGTATTAAACATGTATGAACTTTTTTTTCTTGTCATTATTCCCTAAGCAATATAGTATAACAACCATTTACATAGTATTTACATTGTATTAGGTATTATAAGTAATCTAGAAATGATCTAAAGTATACAGGAGGGTGTGCCTAGGTTATATGCAAGTACTGTGCCATTTGATATGAGACTTAAGCATCCTTGGATTTTGGTGTCTGTGAGGGGGCCCTGGTGCAAATCCCCTGAGGATACAGAGGGACGACCGTATTCCATCTTGTTAGGTCTACATGTATAGTCGCCATTTATGTTGTTGAAAAAATGCATTTTTGTTGGATTAAGTCTCTGGACTTGCAAAATTCTATCATATGATCTCCAGTGTTGTTTCTATCACCACGGCCATATTTTCCAACTACTAATCCTTCTTCTTTGTTTCCAACTTTGTAATTCCAATCATCAGTAATTATCAGTGCATCTTGATTGCGTGTTTGATCAGTTGCAGACTTCAAAAGTTGGTAAAAATCTTCAATTGCCTCATCTTTGGCATTAGTGGTTGGTGCATAAATTTGAATAATAGTCTTATTAGCTGGTCTTCCTTGTCAGTGTATGGATATTATCCTATCACTGACAGCGTTGTACTTCAGGATAGATCTTGAAATGTTCTTTTTGACAATGAATATGACGCCATTTGTCTTTAATTTGTCATTCCCAGCATAGTGGACAATAAGTTGTCCAATTCAAAATGGCCAATACTAGTCCATTTCAGCTCACTAATGCCTAGGATACTGATCTTCATGTTCCATTTCATCCAGTTTTCCTAGATTCATACTTCGTAAATTCTACGTGCCAGTTATTAGTGGATGTTTGTAACTGTTCTCTTTTTGCGTTGTGCCACATCAGCAAATGAAGATTCCAAAAGCTTGATTCCATCTAGTTCATTAAGGTCAGCTCTGCTTTGAGGAGGCAGCTCTTCCCCAGTCGTATTTTGAGTGCCTTCCAACCTAAGGGGCTCGTCTTCTGGCACTATATCAGACAGTGTTCTGCTGCTATTCATAAGGTTTTCACTGGCCAATTTTTTTAGATCGCCAGGCCCTTCTTTCTAGTCTGTCTTAGTCTGAAAGCTTTGCTGAAAACTGTCTACTATGGGTGACCCGGCTGGTATTTGAGACATCGGCGGCATAGCTTCAAGCATCACAGCAACATGCAAACTACCACAGTACAACAACTGACAGATGAGTGGTGGAGGCCTTATTTAGGCTCCCTTATACCAGTATCCATTTAGTCAACCTGTCTTGTAGAGTCTACTGGTTTAACAGCCCACCTCTAGTCCCATCTTTTTTATCTTAATTTAAATTTCCATTATTTTGTAAGACATTAATTCTCTTTTCCATTTATTTGATTGATTTGTTAACAGTATTCATGACTACTATATGGGAATGGTAGAGTGTAATTTTGGTTGTGCTTTGGATATGATATTTTGATGGTTTTTTCAAACAGAGCACCAACACTAACACTTTTTACATTTTTTTTTTTTTTTAGGTCCCCAGAGACAAATTTTAGACAAATCTTATTATCTTGGGCTTCTTAGGTATGTTAAATAAACACTTCTTTTTTGTGTATAATTATGAATATTTAGTTATGATACTTGTTAAGATAATTAGGTATGTGTTGATTTCTAAGAATTATTTCACATTCTGATGTGATTTGACTATGCAGCAAAATAGATGTGATAATACAATTAGGCTGAAATTCTTAATTTTATGTATTTGCATATATATGACCTATGTATTTCAGGTTCAGATTTTTCATCTCCTATATTTTTACGCAAATAACATGTGCCTTCTACGTTTGTTTGCCAGCTGCACCCTTCCCCGTGAAGTATTTTCATAAGCACCGCTATGCGAATTTTTTTACATGTTGCTGTAAAAAAAATAGCATAGCGCACTTATGAAAATACATTGTTAGAGGAGGGTGTGGTTGGCAAATAAATGTAGAAGGTGTGCATTATTTGAGTAAAAATGCAGTAATGATAATCTTTTGCGGTTTTTTCGCTAATAATTCTGAAATATATTATTCATATCTTTGGAATGTTACCAGTTACCACTAATAAGAAAAGTAAAATGTATGTTCTTATTTATTATAAATTAATCGGTGCAGAATTACATAAGTATATATTTGGTCAATTGCTGCAGATGGAGCCCAATTTTAATTAATTTATAAACTTTGTTGTATGTTTCTGGTTATGCGGTTCTAAACTAAGATTTTTTTTTTTTCTCATTCTCTACCTGCATTTTTCTCTGTGCAGATGTCCTGCTGTCCTGTCTTCATTTTGTCAATTTACTTTATTTTCTTCTTGGCTCATCATCTATATCTTCTTTCTCTCTTATTTCCATTCCATTTAATCCATCCTTCTATTGTGGCTTCAAAGCCTTGTTTTCTTTCTTACTCCTTCTTGATTCTTTTGTATCTTAATTATCTGGATCCTTTTGATTCTTAAACTCCTAGAAGGCAATAAAGAAAAGTATAGGTCCCTCCAACACCTGTCCCCAAAGCTAAGAAAGTTAATGAGGCCATCAGTTGTATAGCATCTCTGATATACAGCCTTTTTTTTGATCAAAGAAAGGAAAAGAATTAAAGCTATTCCTGATCATTATATTGCCTTTCTTCAGGGTTTGTGCTTGTTTCAAAGAATATTTTTCACTATTTATGTAAATGTTTGGCCCAAAAGCATTGCTTCTCAGCTAGAGATGATTTTGCCCACCAGGGCACATTTGGCAATTTCTGGAGATATTTTTGATTGTCATGACTGGTGTTGGATAGAGATACTACTGTATACAGACCAAGGATGCTGCCAAGTATCGTACAATGCATAGAAAAGCTCCCCCCACATCACAAATAATTATTCAATGACCTAGAATATCAGTACTGTTCTATTCAGAAATGCTGCCCTAGAGGGTAGCAGAATTTATGAGGGTGACAATTAGGCATCTGCTTCTGTCTGTGGATTGTATTAGTTTGAGCTGGCTTCCATTCTGGTCTTATTTCATCTTTCTTAGTCTATTGCAATATTATCAGTTGAGTAGAGTAGGATGGCATATACTTTTTTCTTGATCAAATAAGCCACTTAAACATTTTTTAGTGAAATTTCATAAAACTATTTAAATTATTGTTATATATGTGTGAGTTTAAGTTTTATCTAACTAGAAAGAGTTTTTTGTATCAAAAGTATTGTTTACTTTCTTATTTCTTTTCATTTAGAAGTAAAATAAGTGAACTTACAACTGAAATTAATAAACTGCAGAAAGAAATAGAAATGTACAATCAAGAGAATTCAGTATATTTGTCATATGAAAAGAGGTGAGAAATTTTATAGTGAAAATATGAAAAACAAAAAATCTTTTTATTGTGCATATCGTTTGATACAGTATGTCACAGGAGTTTAATCTATCCATAATGTCCATAACTATCTGCTTATTTATGTATTTATGAATGTATTTATTTTATGCTTGCAGGGCTGAGACTTTAGCTATTGAAATCAAAGAATTTCAAGGACAACTAGCAGACTACAACATGGTATTTGCTCTCTTCTAAGAGAATTTCTTTTGAATATTTTCATTGCTTTTTACTACTTTTGAAAATATTTCTTATTTTAAATACCAAGCAACTCATGAATACATGCTTATTGTGAAAGATTCAAACCATAAAAAGTGCAGAGAATAAAATACCCCTTTCCTTTCTCCCTCATTTTGCTTCTCAGAAATAATTTGGCTTAACCGATTGATATGTATACTTCCAGTTTTTTTTAAAAATACGTTTACTTACAGAGACATACATACACACACACTCTTTTTACTCTTAATGATGTTAAAATAATAATTTAAAAAGAAGCTAAAATTTGCTGAATGTTAACAATATCATTATTTTAAAGACACATTTCACCTTTCTATGGTATGTTTTCACCAGAAAATTTTACAAATTATTTTGCCTACAGATTACCTCCATTTGTAGGTTTCATTCCAAATCAAGTGTTTACACTCTATTAAAATAGAGTACGTAACAAAATATAGTTCCACCAAAATGCTTCGTAATGTGGACTTTCAGAAGCAGCAGTCCTCCTGGCAGCATTGATAACTACCCCAACCCTTGTGTTGATCTTGGCTCCATGAACATTTCTAGTATTAGAATTTTCTTACTTTCAGCTCCTTAGGTGCTTTAGGCAGCAGTGGTGTCTGGATTTATTGAAAAAGGCAGACTTTTATCTCACCACTTCTAATTAAGAAACAGTGAGTGTTAGAAGAAATAAGAAATGTTCTACCATAATGGTTAGGTAAATTATGATATACCTACTTGATATTGTTACATTATTTATAAACAAAATTTTGCTGATTTTAGTATATTATAATTCTCAAGTTTTTTTGACTACATAATTCATAACAGACATTTTGTAGGGCCTAAAATTTGTGAGATTTTCCTTATTAAATAATGTTCTATTCTAAATATAAGAAAAATAGCTTTTATAAAATATGAAATGACATTAGACGAAAGAGTTTTAGTTATACTGAATGCATTGGTAAATTACTTGGTCTAAAAATATTAATAACATGTAAAATATGCTAGTTATAGGTTTAATGAGATAACACCCAATATAGAGAAAGCATTTAGCAAGGTATGTAACATCATATAGTAAGCACTCAATAAATGTTAGGTCTTATTAGCACTTGTTATTTATGTCATAATTGAAAGTGTAATACATACTAATATATATTACATTAGTAAAGCTTAATCTTTTAAGAATTAGGTACACTAAAATAATTTGCTTTTAGTAGACCATCTGTTCAAATTCTGAGTCTGCCACAAGCTAAATTTCCTTATCTGTAAAATGTGGAATTAAAAGAGTAATTGTGAAAATTAAATGAGTTAATACAAGTAACATGGGAGAATAGTAGTTGGCACAAAGTAAATACCCTAAAATGTTAACTATTGTTATCATTGCTGAACTTTTTGAAGTAGGCTTATTACTGTTCTGTCTGATCCTTGCTCTGTTGGCTTTTTTTTTTTCTTTTTTTAGAATACCAAGAAAACCTTTTACATTTTCACAGGTGTAAATTTATAAATCTGTTAACAACTGCCTTCCCTGAAAAAATGAGAGAGAGGTCTTCCCAAAACTTTTGCCTTCTCTAAGCCCTTCTTTTAGGAGCCCTACTGCTTAGTGGTTAAGTACTCAGCTAGTAACTGAAGGATGGGCAGTTTGAACCCACCAGTGGCTCCATGGGAGAAAAGACCTGGTGATCTGCTCCTGTAAACATTGCAGCCTAGGAAACCCTATGGGGCAGTTCTACTCTTTCGTATAGGGTCACTATGAGTCGGAATACTCAATGGCACACGACAACAAGAAGCTGTTCTTTACAAGCTCAGGCATCTTTTCAGAGCAGACAAATTTCTTCTAGGTGTAATCTGTAGAAAGAGTAGTTAATTACTGTTCAGTTTTCCACCCTAAAAATGTAGTTAACTATTGGCCAAGTGCACACTTGGTAGCTCAATATTTTTTTTATCTTAGAAGATAAAATACTTAGAAGTATTAATACTTGACTTAAATGACTACTCATTGTTAAGATTAAAAACAGAATCATATGAATTATAGAGAAAATTCATAAAGACTAACAACTTTTATTTAAATGTATTTGTTTTTTTAGTTGGTAGATAAACTTAATACCAATACTGAGATGGAAGAAGTAATGAACGATTATAACATGGTAAGAAAATTTATAAATATAAGCAGTAGATCTACATAAGTTATATCCTTCAAAACAAATAATTTATGTCTAGAACTAGTTTGAAAAAACCTTATGGACCTTAGCTATGGGTATTATTCTAATCCTAAATACCACTATTATAGTTGAGTTTCCTTGTTGCTTTTTAAAAATTTCTTCCTGTTGGTTGGCTCTCCCAAGTGAATGCATTAGTATCTGTCTACAAAGCTGTGTTTGAACTGGTCTCACACTCAACATTAGTCAAGAAGTGCCATCTACATATCCTTGTATATACATTAGTTTACAATATTTCTGGTTTAATATTAGCACAAATGGAGCTGAGTACTCAAATGGCACCATTGCATAGTTTTCATAAGAAAGGGAGAAAATTAATAAATATGATGCTGGATATAATACTAATTTTTGATTGGTAAATTACAATTTGTGTTCAACATTCTTAGATTATATGGTAGAAAAGAATAGAATATGTTAATAACTAGCTTATTTTTATTATAAACCTTTGAAAGGAAATGAATAACATAAAGCTTATAACTTATATAGCTTATAATTTATTTACATGATCAAGGACAGTTTTATGAAAACAATTTGTAAAATGACTCTTCCAAGTTTTAGGTTCAAAAAGTGTGATAATTTAGGGAAGTTATTTTTGGCTTTAGAGCACAGGAAAATTCAGAAATTAAAAATGGATTTTAAGTGCCAGAATGTAAAAAGTAAAAACTCTTATATATGTTTTGTCGGTAGTTTGGGATAGACCCAAATTCTAGGCTGGATATGTGCAGGTAGAGTTGACTAGGAGTACGTAGGTAAAATCCTGAGTGGTTTACGAATAAAACTTGTGTTAAGTCTAAATTCAACATAATTAATAATCAAATATTTATTGAATACCCAATAAATTCTTGAGATGCTCCTTGCATAACTTAATTTTATAGTGGATTATTTGACAGAGCACTAAAGAAAAATGAATATTTTTGGTGTGAGATTACAATGCCTATGAAGAATACTGTGTTTTTTTAATCAGGTGTTGTGGTTTGTTAAATGAAACAATATATTTTTAAAAACTTTGCGTATGTCATTAGGATTATGTCATTAGGATTTATTCTGTAGAACAAGAATAAATCCTTTAAAGAAATAGTTTGGTTTAATGGTTATATTTTTTTATCACTAACTTCTGTGGTTAACTGTTTATTCAGCTTAAAGCTCAAAATGATCGTGAAACACAAAGTATGGATATCATATTTACTGAAAGACAAGCGTAAGTACAATATATTAAAAAATCAAACAGATTCTTATGTGAGCTTTAGGTAGTTTCACTTCTGAGTCATTTACTCCCTTACACTTTTTCTCAATTATTTTTCCCTGTTGCCTTTTTTTTATTTAAATAAGTTGGATAATTGCAATACATATTTCATTGTTTACGTATCTATTTTCTTTGCCATTAAGTACCTAAGTCTTGTACAAAAAATAATACTACGTAGGTTACACGAATAGCATTTTTGCTTTTGGAACTTAAAATCTAAGATGGCTAAGAACATCTTCTCTACCACCTGATATTTTAACTTGGGCACTTTAACTAAATTGAATTGTGAGATTTCAGCCCCAAGCTAAAGAAAATCTCATTATCAGTTGGTGGTCTATTTATATCATCTCGTTAGCATTAACATTTAGTAGTTATATTAGTAATCTATGTCATAGATGTAAATTATATGTGTGTCTTTATACATAACCTGACAAAGACCAAATGCTAACTAACTTGGACTTATAGTTAGATAATAAATTAAATGAAAGTAAACGTAGCAGTGAAAATAATGCCTACAAAGTAGATTTGATGTAGTTGACGTAATTATTCTTCATCAGCTCTTTGACCTTAATTAAATGTTGTCTAAGGCAATGCAGACAAACACAGAAGATGACCTATTGTATACACACACACACAAACACACACAACACTCTTTTTGTCCCAGACACTTCTCAATAATTTTAATCATTTTGAGAGAAAGGACAATAATTAGCCAAAGAATTACCTGAATTATGTAACACCAAATATACTGTCATGTTTCCTCTGCATGTGTAGTAAATACTTGATGAAGAATAGGATGTTAAAATATAGTGATAAACATTTGAAAGATAAATATTGTAATTCTTCTGTTGATTAAAAATGAAGTCTTTTTCCCCATCTGTCATTTGATGCTATTAAGTAAGCAGTGTTGTCTTAAAAACTGAAAATACTGGAAGTCTCTTTCGTTCCATTCATGGCGATCCAACTCTTTCTTGAAAACTTTCCCTTTATTTTTTCTTGTTATCCTGGTTTTAAACCACTTAGTAGATATTTATCATTTACTGTATATAAGGTACTCTGCCAGGTACTTGAGGAATAAGAAATACGTAAGTTATAACCCCTTGAAGACCTTATGGAGTTTAGAACATTTAAGTCTTCTTTTATGTCATCATCTGTCTACAAAGTTACATAATACCCAGGTCAGATTTATAAATATTATATATACATGTTTTACAGACATTTCTTCCTAAAAGGTAATTCCCAGATTAAAAATTTTAAGTTGTCATAGATTTTTATGTTTATTGGTTCATTTGATTAAAGAAAGAAATTCTTAAAATGTGGTAATTTGCTCTGAAAGTGTCACCAAACAGTTTCAACACTTAATGGCTGTAGTTTGTAATGGAGGCTTTCCAGGTAGAATTGTTCTCCTGATCCTTTCAAGCAGAAATTTAAACAAAGAACAAAAGTTATCTTTATGAAGCTGACTTTTACATGCAGCAGTTAGAAAGATTTATTTATGTGTTAACCAGATGGCCAACATCTTAATAGCATAAGGATTCACTTTGACTTTAAACATTCAAAGGGAGCAGGAAATGCCATACTTTAAAAAGGCAGGTTTAAAAAACTTCTGTTTTTATTGTCTTTTAGTAACCACTGTTTAGTGTTTAATATGGAACATCTATTCATAGTAAGTTGGTTGTAGTGTAGTGCCTTGATATATTACTACAATAATACTTACACACCTGGCTTTAATTCAGTTTCATGTGTCTGCTTGAATGTCTCTTCCAGTTCTGATGTGTATACTTTCTAGTTTGGCATTAAGTAAAATCAGTTGTTCTTTAAAAACATATGTAATTATAATTTTAAAGCTGTTTTTCTTTGCTTAGTCAGGTATTTATTGAATACCCATTCTAAGCATAGAATTATAAAAGGCTTTAAATATGAAGTTAAATGTAGCCTTTGCCCATTTATATTTCATTTTATTACATTTTTCCGTATTAATATTTGTATTTTATAATTAGGAAATAATATTTTGGCAGAATGGTAAAAATGTCTATGTGTTCCTGCAATTATCTTACTCTTATAAGATAAGATTTAGAACAATAAATTATAATTGGTTTCATCTATTAGGAGTATTAGACATAAAACATTTACATCATTTATTGAAAACATGTTTCTATAAACACAAGCAAATATGTATTAGAAATAAGTTAGCCCATTCTTTCATTTCACAGGACATACCATCCTAAACAGTATTTATTTATTTTCCCTCAGTGGACTTTAAACAGAATTTGCTATTTATATAACTTTAAAAATAACTTTTATACAATATGATATAAATGTACATATTTTTAGTGTCTTCTAAGGCATCATCAAATAAATACACATTTAAAAATGTTGTTATGGAGAAATTTGAATATATACGAAAATAAAATAGTATATAATATGTCTGTGTACCCATCTTCCAGCTCCAAGTACCATTAGCTTCATCCACACTCTAGCTACTGTTCTTGTCACAGTATTATGATGAATAAAATTCCAGACATCATATTATTTTATCCATAAATATATTTCATTGTTTTAGAGATACCTTTATCTCTAAAGGACATGGATAAATACTTAATTTCCCCATGTATGGATGGTAAAATATTATAGATTTTGCTACAGTTTTTAATGCCACTGTTTACACTGTTAAGTTGGTTAAATTACGATTGCAGCCAGTTGATTATAAGAAACTGACAAATCATTTATTTTAGACTCTTCCTATAATAGCTATAGTCTCAAGGCTAGTGTTTTCCAAACTATGTTCTTTGAGCCATTATTGTGCTATAAGCTCTTAGAAAGTGTACCTTGAAGAAAGATTTTTGTTGTCAAGTAAGTTTGGAAAATACTTACTACTTTACTCTTGAAGAATCAGAGAGTAGTTTAGCTTAGTAAAGTCTCAGGAAAGTCCTATAGTAAAGAATCTTTTTCGTTTTGCTTAAATCCAGTGTTTTCTATACTAATTTTACCGTGGACCTCTTCTTTTTTCCTGTAATACTTCTGGATCCCTCAGGAACATTGTGTTCTAGAAAGTAATTTGGGAAACATTGCTCTAACTAGCAGATCTTCAGGAACCAACTAAAGATTCCTCTGTGCCAGTCCAGGCCCATTTTTAGAAAAATCCCTCAGAGAGAGGAAAAAAATATTTATTTTTTAAAACAAGGTCCATAGGTAATTCTGATGCCCACTTTGGAAGCCACTGTGCTATTCAATTGTGGCAATCATGCATTATGATAATAGACTTTCTTTATAACCAATTCAGTAGTAACTTATTAAGGATTACGCCTGAATGTTGTGCCTGTGCTTTACATTGCTGTTAACATCTTAAGGAAATTTATTGTGCTAATTCAGCAAGAATTTTTTAAAAAATATATTTTTCAACTCCACGAATTCACACTGTGAGCATAAAGTTAATCTTAGTGTACACCCACTCCTCACTTATTGACATGGTTATGTTCCAAAGACCATGTTGTTATATGAAAATCAGTATTATGTGAAAATGGAGAATGACCACATAAGATCACAAACTGCAGGATGACTACATCATTACATAACTGCCAAATTACGTTATTATATAACTGCCAAACCACTGAGAATCATGGCCCAGCCAAGTTGACACATAACCTTAGCCATCAAGCCAGTGTTACTCTCATCTCGCACCTCAGTGTTCATTACTCCCAGACATATGTCGTTTATGTGCAAAATAGTCAGCTAGTAGATTTTTTTACTATTGTTGTAAATGTGAAATGTCAGATTATGAGGTAGTTGATAAGTGAAGAGTAGGTGCATTGTCATTTATCACTGTTCCTTACTTTGACTCATAAAGATAAAAATCCAAAATCTCTTTTTTTTGTTTGTTTGTTGATTGGAGCTTTATTATAATTGAAGATGTATTACATCCGGATATCTGGGTTAATATGAGAATCAATTCATTTTAATTAATCGATAACTTACTTGTGGCTTTTTCCTTATAATATGTATGAGCTCTTAAATACTACTAAGAATAGCAATGTTAATATCGTAGACTAACCATGTAACTGTTGGCTGCTGAAAAGCGTCAGTTATTATATTTTGATCTGCTTGTTCAGTACCAATGAAAAAACATAATTTTATGATATCTATATTGTAATTAATATGAATGTGTATTAGCTGTAATTTGGTATGTCACATATCAGAATCTAAACTGCCATGTCTAAACTGCGAGTGGAATGATAATATTTTTAAAAGAAACATTAAAATAAATTAATTTTCTTCATGTAATTCGTGGGTATCTATGTATTTGTCTTCAATAAACCCATCATCATCTACCACAAATGAATGTTGTTGTTCAAATATTACTGAAGTTTCTTCAGAGTTTGTATCTGGTGCCTGTGAAAGAGAACTTGGATTGCCGGTAAAACCATCTTCATAGGTTTCTGCTTCATGCTCTTCCAGGCGATGATGATTGTAACTAAGCAGAAAATTATACCATATTGGGCATTTGATTGCAATAAAAATGAGGAGTGAAGTCGTCAGTACACTGACAATAACACCCACAAGAAAAGCCCAGCTTTTTCCAAAACGTTCATGTTCTTAAATGGAATACCGAGAAAGAGAAAGAGAGAGATTTTGTTAAATTGACAAAAGTAAAATAATAGCATATCCTAATACACCTCAATCTTGGCATTGAGAAAGAACATACAGTACAGTTTTCTTTAGGTGAAAGCTATTAAAGCAACAATCAATAAAAGGTATTTCACAGTGTGGTAAACACGTTTTCATTTACCCCTTCACCTAGGACATTATTGATTTATACCAGTTAAGACTTCTGACTTGAGTTAAAACTAAGGCTCAGAGAAGTTAAATAATTTGCATAATGGCATTTGGCTGATATGTAACAGTGCCTAGTTTGGAAACCTAGTATTCTGTAAATCTTTTGTTAAGATGAGGAATTGTTCTTTTACGTTGTTTCTAGAAATGTAAAATGTAATGAGAACTACCTCAGTTTATTTAGTATGATAACTTCAGTGATACTCATATTTAAAAATAGTATATTACCTGAATTTCTTGTTAAGTTGTTCAAAGAATGATTAAATGTTGAATTGTTAATAGACTTAAAATAGACATAAAGCTCTTCAGTTATAGATGAAGAAAATTTGGAGTGACATTTAGCCTTGTAAGGTACTGTTTTAATACTGTAGCTCTTCAGGATATTTGGGTTGCTACACATCGTGATGTTCTCATTTTCTAGTGAATCAGAAAGAAGAAGTTAACATTTATCATCGAGAATAAGAATGGTTAACAATGTTTTATATTATAATTATTCTTATCTAGAATTTTTTTGACGTTCTGTTTCTCTTTAGTGACGATATTATAAGAAGGAAGCTCTTGTCGTATTTGCCTAGCAGAACAATCAGGGAAAGACGCACATTCCTGTTTATTTATTAAGTTATTTTATAAATACAGTGTCAAGGCAATGTCTCTTTATTGTTTAGTTTGCAGTAGTATTTTATGATTAAAGTTATGGCTAAAATCTGTATCTCAGGCAGAACATGGTTTCCAATTAACAAAGTAGGGTGCCTGTTTTAACCTACTCTGTGGTAAGATATCCTAATAGGAAAAGTATTGAAACTTTATACTTAATATGTGAAGTGATAAAATCATCTCACATCTATAGAACTCTTTTCTTTTCTTCTCTGGAGAGGAGGAAGGAGAGCATCCAGTCAGCAATTACTTGTCAGTGTTTCTTCATGTCTCCCTTGAACACGAATAGTTTACTTTTCTTTAAAACGTAAGAGATTTTTCTGCAGTGGAATTATCTAAAATTAATCACATTTTGATTTTGATTAATTTAAATTATGATAGCTTACCTAGTGTCACATTTGATGTGTTCAACCACTTCTGCAAATTGAATAGTCTACAGGAGCAGTTCCATGGATTTCCATATAAAATTATTAATTCTAGATGAAATAGTTGTGGAACATCAAAAGAGCTTATCAAATTGCCTTGCAGATTCAGAAGTATCAAGTTTTTTAGAGGCATGAACATATCAGGATCCAGCTGAACTATTTTGTTTTGGCAGAGATGTAACTGTTTTAGTTTATTTAAGCCTATAAAAGCACCCTGTTGAATTGCATAGATGGAGTTTCTACAGATATTTAAAATTTCTAGATTGGAGAGGTTATCAAAACTGTTATTATGTAAGATAGAGACATTGTTTTCGATCAAATAGAGCTCAGTGAGTAAAAAATACATCCGTAGAATGCTTATGTCTGTAACATTCAAAGTAATTTTGTTATAACTGAGATCAAGTATAGTAACATCTTTATTGACGTCCGCTGGAATCAAAGAATAATTCTTTTCAGTGAAATTGCATTTGACTTCCTAAAAAAGAACAAAATTAGAAATTAATTAATTAGGAAAAATGTTAGCAGAATTTTTCAAAATTTCATACCCAGGCACTTAGACATTAGAAGGAAATAGTTTTGAAGAAAAACCTAGTTTCTAATCTTTTGGTGTTATAATGTGAAGAAAGTAGAGCAAATATTTTTCTTTCTTGTGATGAAATATTAAAGATGAAGGAAATTCTGATGCATGCACTGAAGCAAGGAGATTCTAGTTCATCATACAGGTATCCTCCAAAGATTATTACATTATCATACAGACAGAAAGAATATTGGTAGATTCTCATTTATATATGTGGAAATAAATGGCAAATAATAATTCTATTAACTATTATTCTGATGTACAAGATTAGCATTTATTATGAGGAACTTATTTAAAAATATATAATTTTTAAAAATCAGCAGAACCAATACTTTACCTAAGGCTGTGTTAAATAATTAAAAAAAACAACCAATACGTAGGTCTATAAGGTTAAAAGCTCAAAGTTTGGTGCTTAAAAAGGAAATACTTATCTTAAAAATTGAACCATGTATTGAATGAAAGAGCCAGCTAACATCTATATCCTTATGTGGATATAGGACCAAAGAAATTGTTCTTCTTTTGACTGCTTTTGCATTTGAAATATACTCCCATTAAATAAATAATGCAGTGACATTATTTATTATAATTTCCTTCATAAATATGTGACTTTTACAAAGTTTCTTACATTTTAAAGTGTGATTTTTATGCCTTGAAACTAATCTCAAATTTTATACTGAAAATTTACAGATTTCCGTTTGTAATCGACTCTTACAGAACTCATAGTTTTAAAAAGTGAAGACTGTTTTTGTCAAATTAGAATCTGGCTTGGAGATCTGATTTTGAATATACATGGTAACTAAAGAGTTAGTTTTAATAACTTGGATTTTCTTTGCTTTCTTATGTTGCTATGGGATATCTTTCTTGTTGTTGTAAGGTGCTGTCAAGCCAGTTCCAACTCATAGGAACTGTGATGGTTAAGGTTGTGTGTCAACTTGGCTGGGCCATGATTCTCAGTGATTTGGCAGTTATGTAATGATGTAGTTTGGCAGTTATGTAATGATGTAGTTTAGCAGTTATGTAATGATGTAGTTTGGCAGTTATGTAATGATATAATTTGGCAGTTATGTAATGATGTAGTCATCCTCCATGATGTGGTCAGCCAATCAGTTGTAAGGGGAGCTTCCTCGGGTGTGGCCTGCATCCAGTATGTATGTGGACATTCTGGCAAAGCTAGGTTGCTTGCTCTGGATCCTACATCCGGCTCGTTGTCATCTGATCTCCAGATCTTGGGATTTGTCAGCCTTTACGGCCCATGAGCCTGCCGTTTGACCTACGAATCTTGGGTTCATCAGCCCCTGCAGTTCCGTGTGTCAGGAGAGGCCTCTAGCCTGATGAATGACCCAGGGACTTGGGACTCGCCAGCCTCTACAACCTCATGAGTCATTTCCTTCAGATAAATTCCCCCTTTTTCTCTCTCTTTCTCACACTTTCTCTCTCTCTAATATATATATATATGTATGTATATACGCTTCACTGGTTTTGCTTCTCTAGAGAAACCAGCCTAAGACAGCAACCCTATGTACAACAGAACAAAACACTACCTGGTTCTGTGCCATTCTCACGATTGTTGCTATGTTTGAGCCCGTTGTTACAGTCACCGTGTCAGTCCATTTGGTTGAGGGTCTTGCTCTTTGTCACTGACCCTCTACTTTACCTAGCATGATGTCCTTCTGCAGGGACTGATCCGTCCTGATAACATGTCCAAAGTCGAGAGATGAAGTCTCGCCATCCTCACTTCTAAGGAGCATCTGGCCGTACTTCTTCCAAGACAGATTAGTTTGTTCTTTTGGCGGTCCACGGTATATTCAGTATTCTTTGCCAACACCATAATTCAAAGGCATCAATTCTTTTCTGGTCTTCCTTATTCATTGTCCAGCTTTCACAGGTATATGAGGCAATTGAAAGTACCATGGCTTGGGTCCGGCTCACCTTAGTCCTCAAACTGACATCTTTAGTTTTTAACATTTTAAAGAGGTCTTTTGCAGCAGATTTGCCCAATGCAATACATCATTTGATTTCTTGACTGCCGCTTCCATGGGTGTTGATTATGGATTCAAGTAAAATTAAGTCACTGCCAACTTCAATATTTTCTCCATTTATCATGATGTTGCTTATTGGTCCAGTTGTGAGGATTTTTTTTCTTTTATGTTGTAGTGTAATCCATACTGAAGGCTGTGGTATTTGATCTTCAACAGTAAGTGCTTCAAGTCCTCTTCACTTTCAGCAAGCAAAGTTGTGTCATCTGCATAATGGTTGTTAATGAGCCTTCCTCCAATCCTGATGCTGCATTCTTCATAGAGTCCAGCTTCTCAGATTATTTGCTCAGCATACAGATTGAATAAGTATGGTGATAGGATACAACACTGATGCACACCCTCCCTGATTTTAAACCATGCAGTATCCCCTTGTTCTGTTCAAATGGCTGCTTCTTGGTCTATGTACAGGTTCTGCATGAGCGCAATTAAGTGTTCTGGAATTCCCATTTTTCATAATGTTACCAATAATTTTTTTATGATCCATACAATTGAATGCCTTTGCATAGTCAATAAAATACAGGTAACTTTCTGGTATTCTCTGCTTTCAGCCAAGATCCATCTGACCTTAGCAATGATATCCCTCGTTCCATGTCCTGTTCTGAATCTGGCTTGAATTTCTGACAGTTCTCTGTCAATGTACCGCTGCAACCATTTTTGAACAATCTTTAGCAAAATTATACTTGTGTGTGATATTAATGATATTGTTTGATAATTTCCGCATTCTGTTGGATCACCTTTCTTTCGATCGGCCACAGATGTGGATCTCTTCCAGTCAGTTGGCCAGGTAGCTGTCTTACAGATTTCTTGGCATAGACACCTGAGCGTTTCCCATGTTGCATTGGTTTGTTGAAACATCTGAACTGATATTCTGTCAATTCCCGGAGCACTGTTTTTCACTAATGCCTTCAGTGCAGCTTGAACTTCTTCCTTCAGTGCCATCAGTTCATGATCATATGCTACCTCCTGAAAAGGTTGAGTGTCGACCAATTCTTTTTGGTACAGTGACTGTGTGTATTCCTTCCATCTTCTTTTGATGCGTCCTACCTCATTCAATAATTTGCTAATAGAATCCTTCACTATTGCAACTCAAGGCTTGAACTGTCCCATCAGTTTTTTCAGCTTGAGAAATGACGAGTGTATTCTTCCGTTTTGGTTTTCTAACTCCAGGTTTTTTGCATATTTCATTATAATACTTTAGTTTGTCTTCTTGAGCTGCCCTTTGAAGTCTTCTGTTTAGCTCTTTTGCTTCATCATTTGTTCCTTTCCCTTTAGCTACTCTGCGTTCAAGAGCAAGTTTCAGAGTTACTTCTGACATCTACTTTGTCTTTTCTTTCTTTCTTGTCTTTTGTAATGACCTTTTGCTCTCTTCATGTGTGATGTCCTTGATGTCATCCCACAACTCCTGTGGTCTTCAGTCATTAGTGTTCAGTGCATCAAATCTGTTCTTGAGATGGTCTCTAATTTCAGATGGGGTATACTCAAGATTTTACTTTGGCTCTCATAGATTTGTTTTAATTTTAGCTTCAACTTGAACTTCCATACGAATAATTGATGGTCTGTTCCACAGTCAGCCCCTGGCCTTGTTCTGACTGATAATATTGAAGTTCTCCATCTTTTTTCACAGGTGTAGTTCATTTGATTCCTGTGTTTCATCTGGCGAGGTCCACGTGTATAGTCACCATTTATGTTATTGAAATAAGGTATTTCCAATGAGTGAGTTGTTAGTCTTGCAAAATTGTATCATGGGATCTCTGGTGTCGTTTCTAACACCAAGGCCATATTTTCCAACTACTGATCCTTGTTTCCAACTTTGGAAGTCTGATCACCAGTAATTATCAATGCATTTTGATTGCATGTTTGATCAATTTCAGACTGCAGAAGTTGGTAAAACTCTTCAGTTTCCTCATCTTTGGCATTAGTGGTTGGTGCATAAATTTGAATAATAGTCGTAGTAACTGATCTTCCTTGTAGGCATATGGGTATTATCCTATCACTGATATCTTCCTAAATGTACACAAAGTTTACCTTTGGATATGTTTTTAATTACCTGATTATAAAAACTTACTGTTTTAGAAGCCTGGCTTTCATCTGATGATAATGTCATGGAGAGAGGCCAAAAGAAGATTGTAATGCATGTGATTTTCATATTGCTGGCCTGATAGAAAAGAGAGTATTTCACCTCAATAGGAGACTGGAGTTTTAGCAATTATTAAGAACATTTTAATTCCCTTTTAAAAAAAAAAATCTAAAACGCATAAAGCATAAAACAAGCACACGACCCTTCACCATCCCTGCACTCTGATTTTAACAAACTATAATTACCTGTGGAGAATGAGAGGCTAATATTTTTTAGGATGTCTCATTAGTTCTTAGATCTGTTGAAAGGAGCTTTAAAGCAGTTGAAGTGGTTATACATTTAAACATTTTAATATGTAAGTACACAGAAGAAAGTCCATAAGAATATAGATTTATGTATGTGTACATGTTTAAGTATATGCTTACGTTGCTACTTCTTGATTTTTCAGTTTAAAGTATTATCCATTGGTATTATCGTTCGATTTCCAACTGTGGGAGATAAGAGTCTTGTGCTGTCTTTCAAATACCTACCTTTATCCCCAACACTTCAACTGTTCCTGCCTCTTCATTTTCCTAACATAGTTACTTATAATTTTGGTTAGATCAGTATTCAGTGTTTATTTTATCATGAATGCACAAATACCATCAATGGCTGAGCCATATAACATGATTACTTTTCTGTTCCTGCACACTTTTTCTCTGAATTAATTGTACTGTTTTTTCATGTGCTCGGTTTTCTATGAATTTATGCACAAATTCTAGCTGTGCAAATCTCTTATAGTTTATGCACATTAGGTACGTAATCAGTTTTATCTACTTAACAAAGTCTCTCCTGGAGCCTGCTACCATGCTCTGATCTGGATGAGCTGATCTCTATACCTTCTATACAGCTATTGATTTCTAATCTCTCTTCACCCTCATCGTAGAGATTCCCTTTTTGTCCTTGTTACTGGATTCTTGTTTTCTAGAGTGTCAAGTCTTGGTTTACTGCCTTGCTTCAAAGGAGCTTCCTTTAGGAGCTTCCTGAGAAAAGGTACCTAGGAGGGAAGTTGTTTGAGACCTTGAATGATACTTTTGCTAGAAACAGAATTCTAGGTTGGAAGTAGTTTCTCCTTAAAATGTTGATGTCATTGCCCCATTGTTTTCAAGTTTCTAGTATTTCTGTTAAGGAATGTGATGCTATGCCATTCTAATTCTTTATCCTTTCATATGACCTACCTGTTCTTAACCCTCAGACCTTTTAAAGTTAGTCTTCTAAAATTTAATGATCATGTTTTCTCCCCAGGAGTCTGTTCTTATTCATTAAACTGGGTACCTGGTGGGCTCTTTCAATCTGAAAACCATATCCCTCAGTTCTGGGAAATTTTCTAAATTATTTCGTTGATGATATTGATGATTTTCTTCCTCCTTTTTTTTTTTTTTTTTTAATCTCACTTTCCATTAACTGGGTGTTAGACTTCCTGGAATGATGTTCTAATTTTCTTATGTTTACTCTCCTACCTTTCATCTCTGTGTGTTTCTGTTTCTGCTTTCTGAGGGACACCCACAACTTTATCTTCAAATTCTTAAAGTTCTCTTTTTCCTGTCATCCTTTTAATTCTAGGAGCCCTGGTGGCACAGTAGTAAGAGCTCGGCTGCTAACCAAAAGGTCGGCAATTTGAATCCACCATCGGTCATTGGAAACCCTATGAGGCAGTTCTGCTCTGTCCTATAGGGTCGCTATGAGTCGGAATTGACTTGATGGCAGTGGGTTTAGTTTTTTCTGGTTTTTTAATTCTTAGAGCCCTTTTTTATTCTCTGAATATTTTGTTAAATAGTGTCCCATTTCATGAATGTGTTATCTTTTCTTATGTATTTGTTCTTTTCTTTTTCCGTGAATAGCCTTTGTTTCCTTAGAAGCTTTTTTCATATGTCTGTGAATATTTGGTTTTGTGCCAGTATATAAGTGTGTGACAGTGGTGGTTCAGTGGTAGAATTCTTGCCTTCCATGCAGGAGACCCAGGTTTAACTCCTGGCCAATGCACCTCATGTGCAGACGCCACCCATCTGTCAGTGGAGGTTTGCATGTTGCTATGATGCTGAACAGCATAACTTCCAGACTGAGTCAGACTAGGAAGAAAGGCCTGGTGATTTACTTCTGAAAATCAGCCAGTGAAAACCCTGCGGATGATAAATGTCCAGTCTGCAACCAATCGTGGGAATGGCATAGGACCGGACAGTGTTTTGTTCCGTTGTGCATGAGGTTGCCATGAGTCTGGAGCTGACTTGATGGCAGCCTACAACAACAAAATAAGAGTGGGGAACTAAAAAGCTGAGTAGAAACTGAATTTGTGGGGTTAATTGTAATTGAGTTAACAGTTTTACAATTAACAATTGAATTTTGCTAATTATAGACCTTACTGTAGGGTGCGATTGCCGGGCTGTTTTCTTGAGGACTCCTTATTCTGTATATTTTTCTCTTCGGCTGGTTGGCCAAGAATTCTGAGAGCTGGGTGATGAAAAAAGTGGGTTTATCTCAATATTTGGTATGTAAACTTTAACTTAATTGCCCTATTTTTGCTGCAACACCCCTACACTCATTGTGCCTGGTGCCCAGATTCCCTTTATTTTCCCTACAGGGGGAAAAAAATCCTCTAGTCTTCTGCTCACCTAGGGGAGGAACCTTGCCTGACTGGATAGAGGTAGGAAGACTGTCAACTATGTTTTGGCCCCTTCTTCTCCTCTACTTACAGAAAACCTCATGCTGCCAATTTCTAGGCCATTTAGGGGTTCTGCAGTATAAGTCAACAGCTTCTCAGCTTTTCCCACTGGTGGCTTAACATAATTTTGCTTTCCAAGTCAGTTTCTACTCAACTATTAGCTTTCTGCTTCTAGGTTTTATTGCTATTGCCCCCTCTTTTCTCTTAATTCTTGTGAGTTTATACCCCCTTTTACCTTTTATTTTTATTTTAATCAGCTTTTGGACAGGAGTTAAAGTTAATGGGTACATTCAACATGTAATCTTTAACGAAAGTTGCCTCTTGGAGTATACTCTTCTTGCTAAATAGTTACTTTCCATTTAATAATTTTATTTATAACCTAAATGTTTCTTGTCTTTTTACCTGTTTTTTTACAGTCAACCTTAGAAACCCTGATACAAACCAATTATCTGTTTGAGATGATATGAGTATATCCTGTCATTATCATCCTTAGAGGTCTTCTAAAGTTTAGTCTTTTGAGCCTTCTTACCTTTTACAATTAGTTGCTTATGATTTTGAAGGAAAAGGTTATTGTACCAGAACAGGAAGTAGGAAACTAATCAGAGTGAGCAAGACTCATTTCAAGTTCATAAAGTCTGTTGCCTGGTTAGCGGTGAGAAATTTACTATTTCAGTACTGCTCTATTCTAGGCAGCTTCCCTATAGCTTTCAGTTTATTGATTTGTTTATGCTTATCCCACTTCCACTCTCTTTACCCCATCCCTTTCCATAGTTAAGTCAATTTGTTAGAAAAAGCTACTACTATCCCTTCTAGATGTGACACAACTTGGATGTAGATCATAATAGAATCCCTTTTAGAGTCAGAAATGAATTCAAGCGATCACTTACTAACAGGCCATTGCCCACAAAAGGGAGATGCTTCAGTTTTACAGAAGGTAGTTTACCGTGTTTAATGATTTCTAGAAATAGATGTGCAGCTTTCTCAATGGCTGGTTTCAGTATTTCAGTACTTTCTCCGTAAGAGAAGTTCTTACTGATGTCTCTAATCCTAGTGGGATACAGACGTGGGTGAGGAGAGATGAGTAAGGGAGAAGTGCCATGTTTTCAGAAATAAATGGGATAGGAATGATTAAGGGATGCAAATTGGCTTCAAAGAAATTAACTGGACTCAAAAGTAAACAGTTGGTGTGGAATAGAGTCATCTGAGGAAGGAAATGGAAGCAAGAGGATCTTTGAATCTCTGTGGAGAAGGAGACGGAGAGTGATTTAGTATTTATTATCTTTATTATCAGTGTGCTAAAGGAAATAAAATTACAATGATTAGAAAAGGAGTTTTTAATTTTTTTATTTCCACCTGATAAATTTTAGAATTAAAAGCAGTGTAGACTCAGCTCAATGTAGCTTTTGTGTAAGAAAACTCTCAAGGAATCTAAAGCATTATTAGTTCAGCAAAAGAGAAAGAAGAGAAACAGGAAAAAAAACAAAGAAGAGCTTTACCCAAAAGGAAATGGTATACAGTGTGCCAAAGAAGAAACTGTGTTCTTGTTAATGCACTTTTGAGTACAAATTTTTTAGGAGTTTTTGGTTATTTTTTGTATGACTCTTATATACTATGAAATAAAAGGTGCTACAGTTACTTTGGTTTTGTTAAATAAAATGTATGTACAGTTTTGTCACTAAATATTTTAGATTTTTTTTTACCAGAATTTAGTCTATTTGAAGTAACATGTTAATAATTCACAATTAACTTCACTCCTTAACTATTTTATGGACTTTTTCTAAATCTTAAAAGTTTTTATAATGGAAAATTCCAGGAAAAAACAAAAGTAGGGAGAATACTCATTGCCCAGCTCAAACAGTTCTCAACTGCTGGCTGATCTTTTTTCATCTTGCAAATTTGGTTTCATTTAATGTCGGTTCAAAATGCTCTATGATTAACATATTTCAGAATAAAAGGTCTTAGAGATTTGATTGACTAAATGAAAACTTTTTTTTTTCTAAAAGAAAAACAATTTTTTTGTATTAAATTGTTTTATTTGGAAAAGATTCTCTAGCCGTGTCCCAAGTTCACGTTATTTCTGAGACAGACCTTTTAAAGACAGAGTGTTTTCTGCTCTTTTGTAACTTTAAAGGCAAAGCATTGTCATACAAACTTCACAAGCTTAGATATGATTTAAAAAAAAAAATCAGTAACAACGAAACCTATAAACATGTACATCTTACCTTTACCTTTTTCTTTTCCCGCTGAGACTGGTGTGCCAAAGGAATCTATTCTGTTTCTTCTGTACCATTAAGAAACAGTATGTCATATGATTGTATTTCACATTATTTTAACCTTTGTACCATGTGAACAGGTGATTAAAAAAGAAATCTAGACTTCCTTAGCAAAAGATTGACTAGAAGACTAAGTTCTTAAAGTCATCTTTGACTTTTTTTTAGAGTAACAAGCAGTGTGCTTAACCTTTGTATTTCTTAATTTTTCTTGAAAAGTTTATTTAAATATTAACAAATTTACAAGTTAGTGTATCATATTATTGAGAACGCATACTTTTGGAAGATACATTATTGCTAAAGTGAATTGAAGTGTTAGTCCTGTAAAATTTATTTTATATTTGGAAAGAGTCAAACTGAAAAGATACCACCAAGTTCTATATTTCACTGATTTTCATCTTTGTTGTTTACTCATTTTTATGACCATCACAGACAGTGTCACTGCCATGTTATCACAGGAGCAAAGGGCTCAGCACGTTACAAGGCCTGACAGTTGGCCATTATACGGCCTTCGGAAAACCAGTTAACTTCCTTGTGTTGCAGTTTCCCCTCTGTAAAAGGGAACGCTGTACAAAATTAGTTACCATCTAACTACAGGAGACCTGTTAGGTAGAACCATTAATAAGATCCATGGTTAGGAATAATTATGTAGTTCAGAATGAATTAGTTCCGAAAGATTAACTCTTCTGGGTCTCAGCATCCTTAATCTGTGAAATAAAGAGATTGAAATAGATGATCTTTTCTGCTGGAAAGTTCTGTGATCCCCTGTATCATGTCAGTTGAAGCATCAGCAAACACATTTATTATACCATAGTAGTTGCGGTTCATAGTAAAGACGTTGCCCCCGCCGTCCAACAGTGAGACAAAAATAAATTGGAATTTCAGGTTGTCTGTTTCTTTATGTTCACTTTTTATTTAGCTATTATAAGATGTTCTTTGTAGGGAAATTTCTAAGTTTAGATTATCTTATTTTATTAGTAGGATATAGGTATGTAGGGGAAAATAGAGATCTAGGGGGCTTAGCTAGTGATTTGTGAAACCTGTAAAAGTTGGTATCTGTGAATGAAAGAGAATAAATAGTGGTAGATCAAATCAGATACTGAGACCCAAATAGAAACTTATGATCTTAGGACTGAAAATTTATGTTCAACAATCTTTTTATAAGTAAATTTTGAAGTATTTACATGACAAGTGGCATCTTACCTTATTTATTTTTTTCAGAATTTTTCTCTACCCTATTGAGAATTGACCTTGCATGGGTAATAAGTGTCACATTGCTGGTATTTTTTGTGGTTATATGATAAAGGTGGTAATTGCTCATAACTAATTTCACTATTACACCTCACTTGGAGCCCTGGTGATGCAGTGGTCAAGAGCTACAGCTGCTAACCAAAAAGTCAGCTGTTCGAATTCACCAGCCACTCCTTGGAAACCACATGGGGCAGTTCTACTCTGTCCTATAGGGTCATGATGAATCAGAATCGACTCGGTGGCAGTGGGTATTATACCTCAACATAGAGAAAACAAAAATCCTCACAACTGCACCAGTAAGCAACATCGTCATGATAAACGGGGAAAAGATTGAAACTGTCAAGGATTTCATTTTACTTGGATCCACAATCAACACCCATGGAAGCAGTAGTCAAGAAATCGAACGACGTTTTGTGGGCAAATCTGCCACAAAAGACCTCTATAAAGTGCTGAAAAGCAAAGATGTCACTTTGAGGACTAAGGTGCCCCTGAACCAAGCCATGCTATTTCAGTCGCCTCATATGCATGCGAAAGCTGAACAGTGAATAAGGAAGACCAAAGAAGAACTGATGGCTTTGAATTTTGGTGTTGGTAAAGAATATTGAATATACCATGGCTGCTAGAAGAACGAACAAATCTGTATGGAAGAAGTACAGCCAGACTGCTCCTTAGAAGCAAGATTGACGAGACTCCATCTCATGTTCTTTGAACATGTTGTCAGGAGGGACCAGTCTTTGGAGAAGAACATCATGCTTGGTAAAGTAAAGGGTCAGTGAAAAAAAGGAAGACCCTCAATGAGATGGATTGACACAGTGGCTCCAACAGTGGGCTCAAACATAACAACGACTGTAAGGGTGACTCAGGACTGGGCAGTGTACGTAGGGTCGGTATGGGTTGGAACCGACACGATGGCAGCTAACAAGAAGTTTTATTTATAATGGTAGCTCTGTTTTTAATGAAATTGGCTTACTATTTTGCAGTGTTAAAATATAGCAAAAGTTGGTAGAATACTTATTTTAATTAGAGAAGTAGGTAAAAGGTAGTTTAAGCAAAGGATATTATTAATCTAAAGCTCTGAATTTTGTCAAATTGCACTACAGGATCCCTACTCCTGAGTTCGGTCAGAGCTGCATTGGTTTACATGGTAAACTTCCATACAAGATTTCATTTGGTCAAAGAATTTTATGGCTAAAGGATGTTTGAAACCACTCTTCTATTTGGAGTTATGAGGACTATCAAAAAGTGTAAATACATCCTCTTCTGTACAAGACCTTGAGGATTTTCTGTGGTAGTATTTGTGTTGTCTTAGTAAAGTAAAATGGTGAGTAAGGAAATAGAAGGATTTAGGGATGGAGAGGAGAAAGATATAAAATAAGTCTGTGTTGATGGAGCCAAGCTAAATTTTATATAGGTCAAATAGAATTTTTTTTTTCACAAATAAATGAGGACTTTGAATCATTATGATTGAGTAACTCTGATTAATTAACCTATAAAATTGAGACCATGACATGAGTAAAATTAATTGGTATTTTTCTTCTCAGTATAGTAAGAGCAATATTGTATTTTTTGATTTCAGGAAAGAAAAACAAATTAGGAATGTAGAAGAAGAAATTGAACAGGAGAAACAAGCAGCAGATGGCATTATCAAAAATATGTCTCCTGAAAAACAAGTGAAGTACACAGAGATGAAAACTACAAATGAGAAATTGTTGCAGGTGATAATAATTTCTACTATGTGCCAGACATATAACAATCTTACCATTAAAAGTGTGTTCTGAAGAAGAGCAGCACTGGCATCCCCTGAGAGCTTGACCAGGTCTACTGATCGTCTTCATTTTAGCAAGGTTCCCAGATGATTCATTTGTGTATTCAAGTCGGAGAATCACTGATCTAGAAAACTCCATTTTCTTATGTTGCTTGATGACCTAGCTTTTATTATAGATTTTTTTATTCAGTTTTATGTGTCATTCATTTTTCTTTTTTTCAATAATATTTTATTGTGTTTTAGGTGAAAGTTTATACAGTAAATTAGGTTCCCATTTGACAGTTTCTACACAAGTTGTTCAGTGACATTAGTCACATTTTTCACAATGTATCAACATTCTCATCGTGTTCTGGTTGTTCCATTCTCAGTGCTCTAGTTTCCGAGCCCCCTTGTCTTCTTTGCATTAGAGTAATTGTTGATCTTTTGGTCTCATTTAGATGGAGCCTCGAACTCACAGGTAATATCCTTTATTTTGTGTACCAATGTGTTATTTCACTAAAAAGTGACCTCGGGATAGTTTTTTTTCAATATTTAAAGAGTATCTCAGAGTAATCATCTCAGGGAGTCCTCCAGTCTCAACTGGTCCAATTAAGTCTGGACTTTTTAAAAATTTGGGTTCTATTCCATATTTTTCTCCCTTTCTATCCAGGTCCATCTACTGTGGCCCCAATCAAAATCGTCAGTGGTGGTAGCTGGCCACCATCTGGTTCTTCTGATCTCAGGGTAGATGAGGCTGTGTCTTGTGTAGGCTGTTAGCATTTCATGCAATATTATTTTTTTATTGTACTTTAAATCAAGGTTTATAGAACAAACTAGTTTCTCATTAAACAGTTAGTACACATATTTGTTTTATGACATTGGTTAACAACCCCATGACATGTCAACACTTTCCCTTCTTGACCTTGGATTTCCTGTTACCAGCTTTCCTGTCCCTCCTGCCGTCTGTGTCATTTCATTTTTACAGGTTGTAAGGACATATGAGAACACTTGTATTTTTTATGGACTTTTAGTGGAAACATTAAAAGGCTTCATAGACCCCAACCATATGGATATTTACATTCTTTCTTTTTTCTTCCCTCCTAATAAGCAGCTAGTCCCTGATTTGAATAGCTGTTGTCCCCTAATCACGTTGCTTGAATAAGAAATTTGGGTGCTTGCTGAGAGATTATTGAGAACTTTTCTCAGTGTTCAGTCATGATGGTGACTAAGTGAGATTTAAAAGTTAATGCCCATTCATGCCCAGACAGCAGAGAATTTGGCCTCATAAATATGCCAATAGTAATATAATCTTAGTTTCTCAGACAATTTAGTTTAACTTTTTATTTTAGACAGGATTGTTAAGATGCAGTGAAGCATTGAAGAAAAAGTGTTATAGAAATGCCAAAATATTACTGAAATATGGTTAATTTTGCACAGGTGTTATGAATAAGTAATCAATTCAATGGTCTTATCCTAGGAGTGGGCCATATGAATTGGTATAGGTCTTGGCCCTAAAAGAAATTAAGCGAAAGATATGAAAATACGGTTAAAAAATCAAAATAAAAAATCAAGACTTTAAGCAATGATATCATTAATTTGAAGGCTCCTGATATCTAGTGTTCTCCAGAACAGTGATGCTTCACTGTGAAAATGTCTAGCTAACTTCACTGGCTCATGAAGTTTTTCTGAGGGTAGATCATTGCAAGGTTTTCAGGAATAATGAAAGAAAGTCGGAAAAATAGAAATAATAAGATGCCAATAAATTCTAGTCAAAATGCAAGCTATGAGTTGAAGATGTTTACAAAATTTACTTTGTCACATCCATATTTGAAATGTTGATGAACAGAGCAACAAATTATTCTAAATGTATCTTGCATATATATTTGTGTATATATATATATATTTTCCTTTTAGGAACTGGATACACTTCAACAACAGCTGGATTCACTGAACATGAAAAAAGAGAGCCTGGAAGCTGTGAGTATAAAATTAAATAAGAGTTCTCATATTACTTAGCTGCAAAAGATAGTTCAGCTAAATATATCAATGGAACTCATTTAAGTACATGTTTATTAACAGGAATTCAATTAATTTTTCTTTCTATTCTGGACACAAATGTCCTAGTTGGGCAAGAAATTAGATTCAGTTATTAAGTACCTACTGTGTACAGTTAAACACTCAGCACCTAACCAAAAGTTTGGTGATTCTAATGTACCCATACGCACCTCAGAATAAAGGCCTGAAAATCTACTTATGAAAGATCAGTCGTTGAAAACCTTATGCAGTACAGTTCCACTGTGACACTCAAGAGGTCTCTATGAGTTGGAATTGGCTCAACAAACCAGAAAAAACAAATATGTAGCTGTAGAGTCGATTCCAACTCATAGCAACCTGTTGACTGGAGCACACAAAAATAGAATGGTAATTTAAAGATACATGCACAAGAGACTATAAAAACTAAGGAAGTGAGAAAGAGATCAGTTCTATCGTTTTAAGGATGTAAATGCTTATACTTGTTTTCTTGTTTATTTAGTTCAAACAATTTTAAATTCATAAAGCATTTTATAGTAAAAAATAAAATCAAGTAAAATAAAATTAAAAATGCCTGTTTCTTGTCCCTCTCTCCAGACAGAACTACTCTGACATTTATTAAGTGCTTACTATATCATATATCACCAGCATTGTCACTTAATCCCCACAACAATCCTATAATCCTTTCTTGGTTTGCAGTTGTGGAAAACTTCCAATGGTATTAAAACTGGATGTACTATCAGCAGCTTGTTCTTTTTTTACACCAATTGTATCTTGAATGTCTATTTGCATCAGCTCTTAGAGATCATCCTCATTATTTAAATTATTGCATTGCATTATGTTGTATGACTATAACACAGTCTCATAGATGAATAGGCTGCTTACAGTTTTTTGGAATTACAATGTTTCAGTTTCTAACTATAACCTTGGATTTAGTTTTTTTACTGATGCCTCTGTTCTTCAAATCAAGAAAACAGAAGTCACTAAGTTTATTTAACTTCTGCCAAGTTAACTTTTTTTTTTTTTGACTTGTTCTTCAAGAAAACATGTCAAATAGCAATCAGCTACTGTTTGTTGAATATTTGCTTTGTGCTCATTACTGTGCTGCGTTGTCATACTTATTGAATTCACAAGAGTGTGAAAAAAATCAGGTGAAAGAGCAACATGGGCTTGAGTCTTAAGTAACAGTTTTATCAAGATACTACTGGAGCAAGTCGAAGCATATTTAGGCAAAAGAAAGGAGAAAACACTGTGAAAAAGGATACCTCAGAATATCTTCATTTCTTCCTATATGTATTTATCATCATGCCTTTTCTTTCTCTTCTCTGAAGCTAATCCAATACTTGAGTTATATATATAACCCATTGCCTATGGACTTTTAAAATTTCCTCATATCCTCTTTGTTCTTTTTCTTTAGATTCCTGCTCTTCTGCTTTCATAAAAGAGGACGTCCTATCCCTTAAAAATGTGATCTTGTTCATTCTATGGGCCTGGTTTCAAATATCACTAACTCTTGTTATCTTTATTAACTTGGAAAGGTTATTTAGAGCACAGATCCTCAGTTATCTGTAAAATGAAGATGATAGTATTATCTTCTGGAGTTGCTTTGAGGGTTAGATGCAGTGTATAAAGATCATGGAGCACAGTGCCTGGCACAGAAGAAGCACTCAGTAAATACTAGCTTCTGATGTTGTCATTTTCATCATCATCACCACCACCATCTCTAGTTTTTTTGGTTATCGAATAAAATTTGTCACATCCCTTGTTACTTTCTCTTTGTGAACAGTATAATAGTGGTGAGTGCACAATAATTATTCTACTTGTAGAAAAGTCAATACGTGACCTATTAATGGGGAAAATATTTTCTCTTTAAGACATCAGTTCTTTTGACTTTGAATTGGACATTGTGATTAAAGTTGTTGTACGTACATTGAGACATTTTCTTCATTATCCTCCTATTGGTGGAGATACCCTATCTTTGTTCAGGTCTTATATTTTGAAAATAAAATAAAATAAGGCTACCAACTTCTTGTGACTCTTGGACTATAAATTGCTTATAAAAGAATACAGGGGTTTATTTTCACTCTTTCAGTTTAGAAATGTGCTTTGTAGTATCATTGAGTACTATAAAAAAAAACAAACAAACCCATTGCCATCAAGTAGATTCCGACTCATAGCGACACTATAGGACAGAGTAGAACTGCCCCGTAGGGTTTCCAGGAAGCAACTAGTGGATTCGAACTGCCAACCTTTTGTTTAGCAGCCAAACCCTTAACCACTGCACCACCAGGCCTCCAGTGAGTACTTGATATTTCTATTTAAAGATGCAGGTGGTTTAAATTTGTCCTCATTCTTATAAACTGAAACCTGTTTGAGAGTAATTTTTTATAAAATACTCATTAAACTTTTCCTTTTGTTTCCTTCAGGAAATAGCACACTCCCAGGTAAAACAGGAGGCTGTATTGCTGCATGAAAAACTTTATGAGTTAGAGTCCCATCAAGAGCAAATGATTGCAGAAGACAAAAGCATGGGATCTCCAATGGAAGAGAGAGAGAGATTACTTAAGCAGGTAGGAAGAATGAACATATTTTAATATATCAGGATTTGGTAAATGTATTTATTTGTTTTATTTCAAGAATATGAATTGAATGGAAAACTACTAAGTTTATTGCCTGCAAAACGTAGTGAAAAGTTAGTGTCACCTAAATTAAGATGAAATACTTGACCAAGAAAATCTAAGTAAAAGTATTTTCTCACATAAACCGTCTTTTGGCTTACATCCTCATTTTATTTTGTCTTTGTGCAGATTTTGACCATTTTTCTCATGTTTTGGACCCTTATTGGGAAAACTTGGAACTTTTCCTTATTGGTCATTAAATAATTAGATAATCTTACTGAAGTAATGTTCTATTATTTGTTTTGGGCCTTGTATGTGGAAAATAAAATGCCCCATGGCTAATGACTTACGTTGTTAATACTGTCAGCACCTCCATGAAGGAAATGGAATTCAAATGTCCTGTAAAATTATAGTATGTCATAAGGTCATGTCACATGTATTCAATAGCTTAGCTGAAGGCTAGCTTTAATTTAGTTGTAAGTTATAGTTAACCTATTGCTTATCCTGAGATACCCTAACTATAGGCCCCTTAGGAGAACTGCATTTGGGAACAGCTCTAGTTGGAAACCTATAAATGGGAGTTCTTTGTGGTCTTAGGTTGGGCCCAATGGATTTGGAAGAAACTTAGGGATCAATTCAAGGGCTATGTGAGTTTTATAATCATTCCAGAAAGGTACTTAAAATATCTAACAACCTCTGAAATTCCTTAGAGAACTTTTTTCTAAGTTCTAAGAAAACTTACAAAGAGATAAGCAATGAATAATCTTCTAGTATAAGTATATCCAAAATATTGCATAGGACATATGTACACTAAAAAGTATTCATTGTTTATCCAAAATTCACATTTGACCAGGCTTGCTAAATCTACCCTACTTTTGGGGGTGGTGTATCAGAAATCCTAGGTGTTTATATAAACTGATTCAGGCCTGAAGATGTGTTAACCTGATAGTGCCATGTGGCTAGATATGGGTAGATCAGTTGCTACCCTTCCATTGAGGAAGAAGGGAAGAAACTGTGAAGAGTCCCTTAAGTGCTGTTCCTTTAACTTCAGAGGTTGAATTCTGAGAAATAAGTTTCAAGAAAGAGACTAGATTTAACATTTTAGTACAGCATACCTTAGAAGAAAATTCTCTTTCGATAGTCTAACGATGAGTTATACTTGATGCCTTTATAGGTTAAAGAAGATAATCAGGAAATAGCCAGTATGGAGAGACAGTAAGTACCTTTATACTTAGACATTTTACATCCACTTCACATCTTTTAAATTACCTTCTGATTGTACAAGAGGTGCATATTGGTACAGTCATTTTTTCTAAGGTTAACACTGAGAATATTAATACAGATGCAGCTTTCAGTCTTGCTTACAGCTTTAAGTATTTCTTTGAATGTTTAATTAAGAGTCAATACACACTACAATTGGTTTTTTTTTTAACAGCTTTATTAAGATATAATTCACATACTATGTGCTTATTAGCTATTTGTATGTCTTCTTTGACGAAATGTAACAATGTGACAGATATATTTACAATGACAGAAAAAAAAAAAGAGTAGCTGCTAAGGCTGCTTATGTACAACCAAAAACCTCATGGGATTTGGTTCCTTGGTTTGAAGGTTTAGAATCGTGGTTTCCTGGGACATCCCAGTTAATTGGCCTAATAACTTGTTTAGTGCTTCTGTTCTACCTCTTAGTTCCTTGTGTAGTGCCTGGGGTCTTAAAAGCTTGCAAGCAGCCAGCCATGAATGTCAGGACAATTGGTCTCCATTTGCCTGAAGCAACAGAGGAAGAAGGAGAGTCAGGAATAGGAGGAGGATATGGAATGTGTGGCTAATTGCCTCAAAGAACAACTGCCTCCTTTGCCATGACACCAGAAGAACTGGATGGTGCTTGGCTACCATTACTGAACATTTTGATCAAAGATTCTATAGAAGAATCCTGATCAAAGGGGGAAAATACAGAACAGAATTTCTAGTTTTCATGGACTCCAGACTTTCTGGAGCCAAGGGGGCTGGGTGAACCCCTAAAACTATTGCCCTGAGATAATCTTTAAAACTTAAACCAAAAATATCCCCTGAAGTCTTCTTAAAATCAAAGAATAGTTTTAGCTTAACTAGTAAAAAATGTCTGCCTTGAGCATTATGCTCTTTTAAGAACAATATATGGGATCAAGTGACAACAACAACTCAAAAGATTAGATAGGAACTTTAGGGGCCGAAAGTTTATGTTATGTTCATGTTATGTTAATGGGGGAGGGACAACTCAGAAAATAAGGGTAAAAATGGTTGCACAACTCCAAAGTAATCAGTGTCACCGAATTGCACATGTAGAAGCAGTTGAATTGGTGTATGTTTTGCTGTGTATATTCCCAACAACAACAAAATAAAATTGAAAAAAAGAAATGTCTATTGAGATCCTGTATCCATTTTACTGAAGTTTATATTGTCTGTCATATATTCATTAGATAATGTTTTCAACAGGTTAACGGATATAAAAGAAAAAATAAATCAGTTTAATGAAGAAATTAGACAACTTGACATGGATCTAGAGGAACACCAAGGTAATATTTCTGGTATTTTTATAATGTAGATTAACAGATTAACAGATGCATAGTATGTTAATACAGTATTAACTGAAGGTTAAGAACTATTTAACTGGATTTATTATTTAGTTCTTTCTGATATTACTCATTGAATTGCTAAAATACATGCTAAGTTTTATGAGTAATTAAGGCACTGATTTAAACTGATCACAAGCTTGAAATAACTTGAAATTTTTGCATAATAATAAAAATGTATTTAGTTTTGCAAAGGAGTTGTTTTTGTTTTTTTTAATGAAGTAAAATGGTTTAAAGTTGTTACATATTCCTAAATTATACTTCCACAATATAACTGGTATCTGGTAGGGTTGGAGGGTTGGGGTGATTATTACATCACAAATATCACAAATAATCCAGAAACAGTCAATTCCCCAGTGAGGCCCAGTAATGAAGTAGCAGGTACTGATTATCCTGATCTCTTCCCCCACCAGCTATGCCCAGCAATGGAATTTGAAAGGCTAAGGCAGGAACCAGACACCTGAGGGAGCTTTGGGTCTGAACAAGTGGAAATATTGTGATGCAGATTCCAGAGTACAGTGTACGTGTGGTTAGGGAAAAGAGTTTGGAGTGGAAGTTTGCTAACCCACTTCTCTCTAATAAGAAAGAGAAAGAAAGGTTCCCTGTGGCACTTTAATCATAGTGTAACTGCAAACTGATTATGAGTTAGGTATGGTATTGTATACTTAGTATGCTAAAGAAAAATCCACAGCAGGGAAAAATAGTGTTCTATTTCTAAAATAATTTTTTTTATTTACTTAAGTTTTAAAGGTGGTATATTAGTTTTATTTACCTTTTTCTTGATTTGTGAAAAATAACATTAGCTGTTACTGATTTACTTATCTGGACTGGGCACTTTGCACTCTTTGCAAGAATGCTTTGAAGACTTGTTAACCCTTTTTTTATACATGTTGAGACTCAGAGAAGTTATGTAATTTAAGTAAGTGGTAAAGTCAAGATTTGAACAAAGGTCTCTGATTCTAAAGTCTTAGTTCCATTGCCTAAGCCTAAGCTTGGCTTTTGGATATGAACTGTTGGATTTGTAAAGTAAACATTTTCTTATGAAATGCTTATATAGTATTATTTTCATAGCTACTAACGGCTTTAAGAGCCCTGGTGGCACAGTGGTTAAGCGTTTGGCTGCTAACCAAAAGGTTGCTGGTTTGAACCCACCACCTGCTCTGTGGGAATCTGCTTCCATAAAGGTTTACAGTCTTAGAATCCCTATGAGGCAGTTCTACGCTGTCCTACAGGGTTGCTATGAGTCAGAACCGACTCGATGGCAAGGGTTTTTTTTTAATTAATTGCTTTTAATAAGGCAGCTAAAGGCAGATAAACTTTAAGTTTCACCTGTTAAGTAAGTTAACTCAGCTTTAGTTTTCTCATTGGCAAAATTAATTTAACAGTCTTATTTCCCTAAGGTTTATGAATATTAAATGGTGTATGTGAGGAGGTAGACATAAATAAATTAAGACTAAGATCCTGTTACTTTCTTTAGTAACTTATTTTATTGCTTTTAACTTATATTGGTCAAGTATTCTAGATTTTCTTTATTAATGTCTTCAAAACTATTTTGAGAAATCTGATAATGTTTTCGATTTTTAGATGCTTTATAGGATATATTCTAAATAATTTTCTTCTTTCAGAATTTAAATTTCTAGCAACATTCAACTTCTTTCCAATAAAATAACTTATTTTGGGTCAATAATTTATTATCATTGCCAATATTCTAAGATAAATAGAATTCTTTGAATTTTAGCTTCCATTTTCCTTTTTGTCTTGTAACTTTGTCCTTTTTTTATTAATATAGGAAAAAACAATATATAGTGCAGTGTAATAGTGGCAAAAAAGCTACTTTAATATGTATGAAAGGTATACATTTATATATCTAAATATGTATTTTATATATATATATATATGTAGATACCAAAAAAGACCAAACCCATTTCCGTCAAGTTAATTCCGACTCATAACAACCTAGTACAGAGTAGAACTGCCCCATAGGGTTTCCAAGGAGTGGCTGGTGGATTCAAACTGCTGACATTTTGGTTAGCAGCCAGACGCTCAACCACTATGCCACCAGGTCTCCAATATCAATGTATTAGTTACGTTGTTCTGCTACACTGATCATCTTAGATTATGGGTGCAATAGCACACAGGTTTTTTTGTTAGAAGGTTACTTATTAGTTCAAGACTTGTTATTTCTTGCTTGAACTATTGTAGTAACTTCCTAACTGATCTCCGCAACTCCAGTCTTGCCCCTCACAGATTCATCCACCACGGTGTTGCCAGAGTGACTTACGTAAAATGAAAATGAGATTCTGACTGTGTCATTCTCTTACTTGCCATTGGTTCCCCATGGCCTACAAGATAGAGTTCAAGAATTTTTGCACAGCATTCTAGTCTGTCTGTAATCTGACCTCTGTGTTTTCAGCCTCCTTTCCACCCCCTCACCATCTCTATCCTTACATTCTAATAATAATAAGCTACTTTTGGTACCACATGTCACACCCTGTTTACCATGTTTCAAACCATTTCATGCCTCAATCCTTTGCTCCCTTGTCTTAAATGTTGTTGTTCCCTGTTATTTTCCTGGCTAACTTCAAGATACCAGTTCTGGTATGGTTTCATCTGGCATAATAACCATAACTTCCCTCCTGATCTGTTTCTGGACTGGGCTAAGTATGCCCTCTTTCCTGTGTTCTGAGAGCACCCTGTGCATAGATGTATCACTGCAGTGACCACATATTATTACAGTTATGTAGTTATGTATTTGACTTCCCCTTTAGGCTATTAAGTTTTCAAGGACACGGGCTGTGTCTTATTCACTTTGGTAACTCCTCTCATCAACACAATGCCTGGGAAAGTAAGCACTCAATAAATGTTTGTGGAGTGAACTAAATAATCCTAGATTTTAGCAGAGAAAGAATTGTAGAATGGACAAGTAGTAAAAGTAGTAAAAAGAATTGTAGAATGAACAAGTAGTAAAAGCTCTAGTCCCTTCTTTGTTTCCTTTAGTTCTTAGGATGCATATATACTCTCACCCAGAGAGGCTTGACTGGTTGGCATAGGTTCTTTTACTTTCCTGAGGATTTCTAGCTCTAGGTACAATTGTGTTCTCTGCTAGGTAGTAATGATGACCCTGTAGTCCAACAACTTTCTTGACTATGCCATGCTTATTTGTTTTAATGAATCTTTACAGTTATAATTTTTCAAAAGTTACATTGAATAATCATATCTCAAAGTTAACTTAAAAAAATCAGTTAGTTATTTGGTTACTCTGTGAAAATCTTCATTGTTCCTAGATGCTGAGTTATCAGTTTCTGTGATAATCTGTAATAAAGCAGAAAAAATTCTACAGTAAACTTAGACTTTTGACTAATTCTAGTTGGGTTACTTCGCACACTAATCTTTACTTAGTCTTTATAAAGACTAAGTAAAAAATAATTTCATAACAGAAAACTTTCATTATAATAAGGTATCACTACATTTAAAAACTGCAGGAGGATTTAATTCTATCATGTTAAATATTTGCTAGACTTCACCCCACATAGTAGTTTTACTTTATTGGATCAGGTCATTATGTTATGTGGGTTCTAAATTTATTTAAGTTTAAAAATACATACTGTTTAAAAATTGATATTACCTTACTCAGTCCTATATTTTAGTAGGGAAGGAATGATTATTTTTTACCAATTAGAAGCAATGAGAAATAGCTGTATTGAAAGTCAGACAGGACTTGGCTGCAAACTCTGTGCCATCAGTAAAGCAGAGCAGTGTAGGCAGACACCATGCTACTTTTCAGAAAAGCCTGAATCCCTCCTGTTTTCTCCTTTCTCAGGTGAATTGCCAGCCGTTAAATACTTGCTTAATTGTTACTTTTAAAATGCCACTTCCATATGAGCAAGGGGAAGTAATAGAAAAATAATTGTTGCTCTGGCTAGAGCAGATAACACAGACAACAGTAGCCTATATTCTCACTTGACACAGGATACTGTATTGTTTAAATTTTTTTTTATTGTACTTTAGATGAAGTTTACAGAGCAAACTAGTTTCTCATTGAACAATTAATACACATATTGTTTTCTGACATTGGTTACCAACCCCACGACATGTCAACACTCTCCCCGTCTCGACCTTAGTTTGCCCATTACCAGCTTTCCTGTCCCCTCCTGCCTTCTTGTCCTTGCCCCTGGGCTGGTGTGCCATTTAGTCTCGTTTTGTTTTCTGGGCCTGTCTAATCTTTGGCTGAAGGGTAAAAACCTCAGGCGTGACTTCATTACTGAGTTATAAGGGTGTCCATGGGCCATACTCTTGGGGTTTCCGCAGTCTCTGTCAGACCAGTAAGTCTGGTCTTTTTTGTGTGTGTGTGTTAGAATTTTGTTCTACATTTTTCTCCAGCTCTGTCCTGGACCGTCTCTTGTGATCCCTGTCAGAGCAGTCAGTGGTGGTAGACAGGCACCATCTAGTTGTGCTAGACTCAGTCTGGTGGAGACTATGGTAGTTGTGGTCCATTAGCCCTTTGGACTAATATTTCCCTCGTGTCTTTAGTTTTCTTCATTCTCCCTTGCTCCAGGCAGGGTGATACCAGTGGAGTATCTTAGATGGCTGCTGTCAAGCTTTTAAGACCCCAGATGCTACTCACCAAAGTAGAATGCGGAACATTTTCTTTATAAATTATGTTATGCCAATTGAGCTAGATGTTCCCCAGGACCATGATCCCCACAGCCCTCAGTCCAGTAATTCGGTCCCTCAGGGAATTTGGATGTATCTATGGACCTTCTATGACCTTGCCTTGGACAAGTTGTGCAGGCTTCCCCAGTACGGTGTACTGTCTTACCCTTCACCAAAGTTACCACTTATCTATTGTCTATTTAGTTTTTTTCCTTCCCACCCTTCCCTTCCTTCATAACCATCAAAGATTGTATCTTTTTGTGTGTAAACCTTTTCATGAGTTTTTATAG